GAAGGTCAGATGTTAAGAAACCTGCCCATATGTCCCTCTCTGCCCGGGACTGAACCCGGGTAGTTCTGGTTGCTACCTTAACATTCTACCATTGAGTCTCAATTATTCGTATTTCTATTGAAATTCTTTCTATGTTATTGCCATCAGACTTTAAATGGACAGCCCCAATATATAATCAGCTTTCACCTTGATGGTTTATACGCCCTAGTCACCTTATCAGATCACAGAACGGGTGGGACTCGAACCTGTCACTAGAGCGTCACGTTATCAGCTCTTATCATGTTGCCCGATGCTATTCACTTTTGTGTCGTGGATCTTGATTCAAGGATTTGGAGGCACCCTCCCCTTCCTTGGAACGAATCTGATGACATTCCGTCCCCCAAGAGATGCATAACCCGTACTGGTTTAGTGCTTCCCCAGTACGCTAAACCAGTACGGGTTGGAGAGGACTGAGCTCTGCTCATACCTCTAACAATGTTGCCCTCAAAGATTTGTAATGTACCATGAATTAAGGAAAGATCCTGGACTTCACCTTACGAAACAAAGTAAATGTGATAGTAATCATGGACAAGGTAGATTATAGTGGAAAAATGAACATGTTATTAGAAGACGGGGGAACTTACGTGGCTCGTAAGTGCCTCTGTAATCTTTTGACTGCTACCCACTGGGTGGGTGTAAGTTTATTCAAGTACACATAAATATAGTTATACGTACATAACAACATATGTGTAGGTTACCTAGGATAACCCAAAAAAGTCAGAGTGACTTATTTCCACTGGGGTACTTGGGGGCATAATACGGATATTAAAGTAACTCATTAATGTAATAATAATATTCACTGTAGCAAGAATAAAAAAGGCACAATACCATGACTGGAACAATACACAAATAATCTGATTCAGTCAGACTTTGACTAATTAATGTATACCTGGAGAGAGTTCCGGGGTCAACGCCCCCGCGGCCCGGTCTGTGACCAGGCCTCATGGTGGATCAGGGCCTGATCAACCAGGCTGTTACTGTTGGCCACACAACCCGACGTACGAACCACAACCCAGGTGGTCAGGTACTGATTTTAGGTGCCTGCTTGAAGACAGCCAGGGGTCTATTGGTAATCCTCCATTATGTATGCTGGAAGGCCCCGGACACTTATTGTGTTGTCTCTTATCGTGCTAGTGACGCCCCTGCCTTTCATTGGGGCGATGTTCCATCGTCTGTCGAGACTTGCTTTCATAGGGAGAGATTTTCGTGTGTGTATAACTAGTTAATGGTCCAAGTCGGACCGAAACGTCGTCATGAGTTTTATTCTCCTACATTATGTGTAGATAAATATTTTGAAAAAATTTTGGAGTGAGCTAAACAAGTTAAGAAAGCCTAGGGAAAGTATGGATTTGTCAGTTAAAAACAGAGTAGGGGAGTTAGTAGATGGGGAGATGGAGGTATTAGGTAGATGGCGAGAATATTTTGAGGAACTTTTAAATGTTAAGGAAGAAACAGAGGCAGTAATTTCATGCACTGGTCAGGGAGGTATACCATCTTTTAGGAGTGAAGAAGCGCAGAATGTAAGTGTGGGGGAGGTACGTGAGGCTTTACGTAAAATGAAAGGGGGTAAAGCAGCTGGAACTGATGGCATCATGACAGAAATGTTAAAAGCAGGGGGGGATATAGTGTTGGAGTGGTTGGTACTTTTGTTTAATAAATGTATGAAAGAGGGGAAGGTACCTAGGGATTGGCGGAGAGCATGTATAATCCCTTTATATAAAGGGAAAGTGGACAAAAGAGACTGTAAAAATTATAGAGGAATAAGTTTACTGAGTATACCAGGAAAAGTGTACGGTAGGGTTATAATTGAAAGAATTAGAGGTAAGACAGAATGTAGGATTGCTGATGAGCAAGGAGGTTTCAGAGTGGGTAGGGGATGTGTAGATCAAGTGTTTACATTGAAGCATATATGTGAACAGTATTTAGATAAAGGTAGGGAAGTTTTTATTGCATTTATGGATTTAGAAAAGGCATATGATAGAGTGGATAGAGGAGCAATGTGGCAGATGTTGCAAATATGTGGAATAGGTGGTAAGTTATTAAATGCTGTAAAGAGTTTTTATGAAGATAGTGAGGCTCAGGTTAGGGTGTGTAGAAGAGAGGGAGACTACTTCCCGGTAAAAGTAGGTCTTAGACAGGGATGTGTAATGTCACCATGGTTGTTTAATATATTTATAGATGGGGTTGTAAAGGAAGTAAATGCTAGGGTGTTCGGGAGAGGGGTGGGATTAAATTTTGGGGAATCAAATTCAAAATGGGAATTGACACAGTTACTTTTTGCTGATGATATTGTGCTTATGGGAGGTTCTAAAGAAAAATTGCAAAGGTTAGTGGATGAGTTTGGGAATGTGTGTAAAGGTAGAAAGTTGAAAGTGAACATAGAAAAGAGTAAGGTGATGAGGGTGTCAAATGATTTAGATGAAGAAAAATTGGATATCATATTGGGGAGGAGGAGTATGGAAGAAGTGAATGTTTTCAGATACTTGGGAGTTGACGTGTCGGCGGATGGATTTATGAAGGATGAGGTTAATCATAGAATTGATGAGGGAAAAAAGGTGAGTGGTGCGTTGAGGTATATGTGGAGTCAAAAAACGTTATCTATGGAGGCAAAGAAGGGAATGTATGAAAGTATAGTAGTACCAACACTCTTATATGGGTGTGAAGCTTGGGTGGTAAATGCAGCAGCGAGGAGACGGTTGGAGGCAGTGGAGATGTCCTGTTTAAGGGCAATGTGTGGTGTAAATATTATGCAGAAAATTCGGAGTGTGGAAATTAGGAAAAGGTGTGGAGTTAATAAAAGTATTAGTCAGAGGGCAGAAGGGGGGTTGTTGAGGTGGTTTGGTCATTTAGAGAGAATGAATCAAAGTAGAATGACATGGAAAGCATATAAATCTATAGGGGAAGGTAGGCGGGGTAGGGGTCGTCCTCGAAGGGGTTGGAGAAAGGGGGTAAAGGAGGTTTTTGTGGGCAAGGGGCTTGGACTTCCAGCAAGCGTGCGTGAGCGTGTTAGACAGGAGTGAATGGAGACGAATGGTACTTGGGACATGACGATCTGTTGGAGTGTGAGCAGGGTAATATTTAGTGAAGGGATTCAGGGAAACCGGTTATTTTCATATAGTCGGACTTGAGTCCTGGAAATGGGAAGTACAATGCCTGCACTTTAAAGGAGGGGTTTGGGATATTGGCAGTTTGGAGGGATATGTTGTGTATCTTTATATGTGTATGCTTCTAAACTGTTGTATTCTGAGCACCTCTGCAAAAACAGTGATAATGTGCGAGTGTGGTGAAAGTGTCGAATGATGATGAAAGTATTTTCTTTTTGGGGATTTTCTTTCTTTTTTGGGTCACCCTGCCTCGGTGGGAGACGGCCGACTTGTTGAAAAAAAAATATTTTGAGTATTTGTGAAGACTTTTTTTAAGCGTTTCGTTAGAATTACTTAAAATTCGCCATCTTCATTTTTTTACACAGAGAATTGGCTTCATATCTTCCCAATCACAGCAAAGGTTTTTGAGGTGTGGAATAGAGAGATGAGGTTAAGATAAAAGTTGTTCAGATTTTTAACCACGGAGGGTTAGCCACCTAGGATAACCCAAGAAACTCAGTTCGTCATCGAGGACTGTCTGTCTTATTTCCATTGGATGCGACTCACACCAGTCGACTAACACCCAGGTACCTACTTGCTTGCTAGGTGAACGGGACAACAGGTGTAAGGAAGCACATGCAATGTTTTTACCCTTGCCGGGAATCGAACCACGAACACTCAGCATGTGAAGCGAGAGAGGAACGTTGCCACAATAAAATGTCACATTACACTTGTGTCCTTTTACCTAACACAGTGTCGGTAATTCTACCAACATTAATACAAAATTAATCTAATTTGCCCGAAATGCTCTGCATAACAAGGGGCTTTCCATATAGCAGTATGTCATTGATGTCAGCTAGGCCTGTATACATTGTACACGTACATGTAGAAATAAAGATTATTATCATATTATTATTAATTATATTACATTTCCGTCAAGAAGCCGGTTGCTGACTTATCGGAGTATTTGCACACCTGGTTCTGCCGGAGTTTAGGCGTATGTCCACCTCACCTAATTGTAAATAATTGTTCCCGTTTCTGTTTCCTGATGAAACATTGTTTCCTCTCCAATGCCGGCCCAGATGTAGTTGTTGAGTTTAATATCTTTATTATGCACTCCATACCCATCCTGTGAATGAGTCAAAAGATTACACAGGTTCATAACCTATATCAATATAGAGGAAGAATTAGTATTAGTCTGCCTGACCGGGTGTGGAAGTGTGAATTGCTCATTACTCTATAATTTGTTCATGATTGTAGCCATGTATAAACGTAAGTAACCATTCTACAGAATTCATTACCTTTGTAACTTGTGAGCTCATTACCTTTGTACCTAGTTCAGCTATCAAAACTTTGGGGGCCCAGTCCCTGGACCCATTACGTACCTCTGTAATCTGTAAATACCTTTGTAACTTGTCATGATTGTGACCAGACTTACCTGGAGTTCATTACCTTTGTAAATTGTGAGTTCATTACCTTTGTAAATTGTGAGTTCATTACCTTTGTAAATTGTGAGTTCATTACCTTTGTAAATTGTGAGTTCATTACCTTTGTAAATTGTGAGTTCATTACCTCTGTAACTTGCTCAGCTATCAAAACTTTGGAGTCCAGTCCCTGGACCAATTATGTACCTCTGTAATCTTTTGACTACCGCCCACAGGATGGGTATGGGGTGCATAATAAACATATTAAACTAACTAAACTGCCTGAAATGCTTAGGCATGCTAGTGGCCTTCTTTGTAATTAATATTTTATAGCATGTAAACTACACATTATAAGTTTTACAAGGAAATAAACAAAGGAAATAAACATTTTCACTTTCATTTTCATAATGGGTCCAGGGACTGGATGTAGGCGATATTTTTTTCTGGCATTCCCCTGAAGCAGGATCCAGTACGGCGGAAGGTGTGATGTCCCTTATAACCCACAACATCAATCAGGATGTGTCATGTGTGCTTCTTTGTGTTTTTATTTCCCTTGCACGTTTCCTGAAGGAGAATTGTGTTTTTATAAGATGTACAGGAAACCTCTAAACAATCTGCATCTATCATGGAGATGAATAAGGGAAAGGAAGCGCAGTTTTCACACTGAGGAGAGAATTCAGACATTGAAATGGCAGAGAAAGATAACACAGAGATAGACAATAAGAATTGTAGTGTAAATTTTGACTGTGATATCTTCGGTGATGACGATGATGATATCATTGCTCAAGCCTTCGAGGATAGTTTATTGTAAGTTGATGTTTGTGGTAACCAAATTAAGGCTGTGCTATGTTAAAGCTCCCGTAGTTTTCATGACTAATCATGGAGTCATATGATTAAATGATTTAACAGACACTTGAGGAAACGCATCGTAAATATAAGTAAGTTTATTTAGGCTCAGGTACACATAAGTACAATTATCATACATAGTGTAAATTACCAAGGATAACCCCAAAAAAGTCAGTGACTATTTCATTGGGGTCCTTGTAATATCGTATGACATACATATTTGTTTCAAATTATTATTATAATCAAAACGAAGCGCTAAGCCACAAGGGCTATACAGCGCTGCAGGGTAGGGAAGGAAGCGAGGGTATTGGATGGCAGAAGGGAGGAGGGATGATCAGCAAGTTACAGAAAACAGCGGGGCAGGGGATAGTACGGGGGTAGAGGGTAGCAAGAGATTGAAGTAGAAAGGGCTGAAGGTATCAGAATTTGTGAAGTAAGTCAGTTGTTGTCAAAAAGTCAATGAGAGAGTCCGGATGAAAGGTGGGTCCATCAGCGAGAAGGGAAGGTAAAGAGAGAGCAGCGGAGCGAAGACGATGACAGAGGTAAATTCTGCGTGCTCGTTGATAAAGTGGGCAGTCCAACAGAATGTGGCTGACTGATAATGGAGCTTGGCAATTCTCACAGAGAGGAGCAAGACGCCTCTCCATGAGTAAGACGAGTATGGCCAATGCGAAGATGGGAGAGAGTAGTCTCCCAACCTCGACACTGGTGATAAGAAGACAGCCAGTAACCTATACTCGGTTTAATAGATTGAAGTTTGTTGCCGAGCATAGTAGACCAACGTTGTTGCCAACGGGTGTGAAGGTGGGAAGATATTGCAGCAAAATAGTCCGTAAATGGAATACCTCTATAAGAAACTGGTAGGTCATGTACTGCTGACCGCGCAGCAGTGTCTGCCTGTTCATTGCCCTGTACGTCAACATGACCAGGGACCCAACAAAAAACAATATCTTTATGCTTGGTAAAGATGCGGCGTAGCCAAAGTTGGATACAGAGGACTAAGGGGTGAGGTGTATCAAATTTTTGTATAGCCTGTAAAGCACTAAGGGAGTCTGAGACAACCACAAATGATGACACAGGCATAGATGCAATACGGATAAGTGCTTTAAGGATGGCATATAATTCAGCAGTAAAAATACTAGCCGAAGATAGTAAATGCCCTTGTACGACGCTGTCCAGAAACACTGCTGCGAATCGTACGCCATCAGAAGACTTAGAGCCATCTGTGTACACAGCAATGGCATGAGAATGAGAGTGAAAGTGGTCAAGAAAAAGAGAGCGGGAAGCGACCGTAGACAGTTGGGCTTTCGAGCAAGGGAGGGAGAAAGAACAGACTCGAACAGCTGGAACTTCCCAGGGGGGTAGGGAAAAGTGAGATGCTACATGTACATAGAAAGGTGGTAGTTGAAGAGAAGACAAGAGCGAATGAAGGCGAAGAGAGAAGGGACGGAGTAAACAGGGGCGGCGAACAAATAAAGAATGTCTACTAATATCAGTGACCATTCTATAAATGGAAGGATTGCGGAGATCATGAGAGCGTACATAGTAGCGCAGGCAATGGGCATCACGGCGATCGGATAAGGATGGAACATTCGCTTCTGCATAGAGGCTCTCGACAGGGGAAGAGCGAAAAGCATCAAGGCATAAACGTAATCCTTGGTGATGAATGGGGTTAAGGCTAGAGAGAGTAGCAGGAGATGCCGCTGAATGGATCTGGTCACCATAATCAAGTTTCGATAAAATAAGGGTGGAATGTAGGCGAAGGAGGGTTCAACGATCAGCTCCCCATGAAAGATGAGCAAGGGTTTTAAGAAGGTTCAGCCGGCTGTGACAAGTTGCCTTCAGAGAGGTAATGTGAGGTTTCCAGGATAACCTACGATCAAAGAGGAGGCCCAGAAACTTGACTGTATCACGTTCAGGGATACGGGAGCCATAGAGGTACAAAGGATGATCGGAGATGACAGAGTGTCTAGTGAAAGTAATTTGGTGGGTTTTAGTGCTGGAAAATTTAAACCCACGTGTGGTGGCCCAATTGGAAACACGGTCGACTGCATGTTGGAGAGAAACTGTAATGAGGTGACAGTCAGCGCCTGCACAGGTAATAGCAAAGTCATCAACATGGAGTGATGGCCAAATATTTGATGGAAGACTAGAGGCCAAATCATTAATAGCAAGGAGAAAAAGTGTTGTGCTCAGAACACATCCCTGGGGGACACCTTCAGCTTGGATAAAGTCCGGGGAGAGCACATTATTAACCCGAACAGGGAAATGCCTGTCAGTTAAAAAGTTCTTAAGGAAGGATGGTAGATTGCCTCGAAGGCCTAAGGAGTGGGCTTGGGCTAAAATATTATACCTCCAAGTTGTGTCATATGCCTTCTCAAGGTCAAAAAATATGGCAATAACTGAGTGGTTATTCGCAAAGGCATTACGAACATACGTATCCAAGCATAGTAAGGGGTCTATGGTAGAACGTCCCTTACGAAAGCCATATTGACGAGTGGAGAGACTGTTGTGTGTCTCTAAATACCACACTAAACGTCTATTTACTAGGCGTTCCATTACTTTGCAAACTGCACTGGTAAGAGCAATGGGACGATAGTGGGAGGTTTCATGTCCCGTAGTGCCTGGTTTGCGGAAAGGGAGAACAATGGCGGATTTCCACAGCTGTGGAAGAACTCCTTGTGACCAAATAAGATTGTAAAGGCGTAATAGGACTGCAAGCGCTGACTGATGTAAATGTTGTAGCATACGAATATGAATGTCGTCGGGCCCAGCTGCCGATGATCGACAAGCTGAGAGTGTTGCCTCCAGTTCTTGAAGTGTAAAAGGCACATTATACTGTTCTTCTCTGAGAGAAGAAAAGTCCAAGGGTGCTAACTCTCTGGCAGACTTTGAGGAAAGAAATGAGGGGCATAGATGGAGTCCCTGAGAAATACGGACCAGATGATTGCCAATTTCATTGGCAACATCTAGTGGGTTTGCTATATCAACACCGGCAACCCGCAGAACAGGAGCCGGGTCAGGAGAATATTTACCACTCAATTTTCATACTTTTTTCCAGACTGCACTCATAGAGGAAGCAGAGGTGATGGTGGAGAAATAATCTCGCCAGCAAGTGCGTTTAGCGTCACGGATGACACGGCGAGCGATCGCACGCTTCTGTTTAAAATCAAGGAGTCTCTCTGTGGTTCTATTGTACCGGTACCTGCCCCATGCAGCGCGTTTCAAACGTACTGCACGAGCACAAGCAGGAGACCACCCAAAGGGACGCATTTCTGAGAATGCCTGCCCGAAGTTTGGGGTATAGAATGAGAAGCTGCGGTGAAAACGGAGGACGAGAAGAGGTGTAAAAGCTCATCGATGGAGGACGAAGAAGGAACCTCTTTAAAAACAGTTAGGTGTGAGTAAAGGTTCTAATTTGCCCGATTAAATTGCCAGCGTGGGGTGCGAAGAGGTGGCGAATGTGAAGGGGAAGTAAGAATGATTGGGAAATGATCACTGTCATGTAAGTCCGGGAGAACAGACCAAGTGAAGTCTAATGCGGCGGAGGAAGAGCAGACTGAGAGATCGATGCAAGAGAGAGTATGAGTCCGAGGATCAAAATGGGTGTGAGTACCTGTATTTAAAACATGGAGGGGGTGGGTGGCAAGAAAAGCCTCTAACTGAATTCCACGGGAATCACAGTGAGACCCCCCCCAGAGGAAATGGTGGGCATTAAAATCACCAAGTAACAAAATCGGTGGTGGTAATGACGAAACAAGAAAGACAATATCCGGAATAGATAATGCCCGAGAAGGAGAGAGATATAAAGAACAGAGCGTATACCACCTATGTAAGTGGATACGGGCTGCTGTGTAATGCAGCGAAGTATGAACAAATAGCTGATGGTACGGAATATCAGTGCGTAGAAGAAGGGCACTTTCATTAAAGGTCCCATCAGGAAAAGGATCTGAAGAATACAATAAATTATAGCCTGAGATGGGAGAAATAACAGTTAGTTTAAGTTAGTTTAATATGTTTATTATGCACCCCATACCCATCCTGTGGGCGGTAGTCAAAAGATTACAGAGGTACATAATTGGTCCAGGGACTGGACTCCAAAGTTTTGATAGCTGAGCAAGTTACAGAGGCAGTGAACTCACAATTTACAAAGGTAATGAACTCACAATTTACAAAGGTAATGAACTCACAATTTACAAAGGTAATGAACTCCAGGTAAGTGTGGTCACAATCATGACAAGTTACAAAGGTATTTACAGATTACAGAGGTACGTAATGGGTCCAGGGACTGGGCCCCCAAAGTTTTGATAGCTGAACTAGGTACAAAGGTAATGAGCTCACAAGTTACAAAGGTAATGAATTCTGTAGAATGGTTACTTACGTTTATACTTTGGCTACAATCATGAACAAATTATAGAGTAATGAGCAATTCACACTTCCACACCCGGTCACAACTGTAATGAGTTATTGGTGCAAATATTGATTGTTGAGTCACACACACCACACACACACACACACACACACACACACACACACACACAGCAGAGTGTAATTTTGGTTCCTGTAAGCAAACACCAACAGGGGCAAACTGGGAGAGTAACATCTGAAGCTCACCCCGATTACCCCTGAGGCCACGTATATTCCACTGTAAATAGGCCATGATTGGCAATGATAAAGATACTTGAAATCCGCAGGTAAGGGTTCCTACGGACTAGAGGGGTTAGAAAAGTCCACATGCGGAGGCAGTGGAAAACGTTCAAGCAGCGAAGGAACGGTGCGCTGTGAAGAAAGGAGTTGCGCAGATGGAGCAGAGGAGAGAGAAAGAGCGGAAGGTGGATCAGTGTCCATTGATGGTTTGGTCTCTGCAATATATTCAGAGATTGCTTCAAGTGTTTCGGAATTCAGAGACGTCGTATGGGAGACAATATTGGAAATGGTAGGGGGAGAATGAGTAAAGATTGGAACTGTATTGGACTGTACCAAGGTAGGGGGGGTGAAAGGGTGGAGGGAACTGGAGAAGCGTGGCAGGGGACAGAAGAGGCAGGAACCTGGGAGGTGGCAGAAGAGGAAGAAACTTGGGAGGGAACAGGGGAGGAAGGTACAGTACGAGGAGGAGGGTGAACCTCTACACTTGTAACTGAGCCAGTGAGAGGGGGAGAACCAGGGACAGAGACAGGGAGGGTAAAATGAGGAGGTGGAAGATGGGTAGGAGGTGTTAACGGACCTTTTTTTTGACTTTTGAGAAGTAGAGGGACGATTGGGAGGAGGTGTCGTACGAGGTCTCGTCGATACTGAGGCTTGTGAGAGAGAACACGAAGAAGCGAGATCAGACTGAGGCATTGAAGTAGGGACGTCTGAGCCGAGGACAGCAAAAGGATTAGATACAGGAGTGACTATGGGAGAGGTAACCACAGAGGTGGGTGTAGAAAATGAGATACCAGAAGTGGGGGGACGTTTTGAAACACGGGAATAAGAAACACGTGGGAGTCTCCCTTGGAGGCGGAGATGAGAAACTGCCATGGCATAAGGGAGACCTTCTGTCTCTTTGAGGTAACGGATTTCCCGCTCGTTTAAATAGACTTGACAACGGCAAGAGTACAAAGGGTGAGCCTCATGACAGTTAAGGCAAGAGGGAGATCGATTGCAAGACGTATTAGAATGGTCATCGGCACCACAGACTGGGCATTCGGCGATAGATTTGCAATATTTCACTCGATGGCCAAATCGCCAGCAATTTCGACACTGTTTGGTGTAGGGATCACCTTTCGAACTTGTAACCGATGTCCTGCTATATAAACTGAGGATGGGAGTTCTCGGCTGTCAAAAGTTAAACGAGCCACATTGCTAGGGTATCGTCTCCGCCCGCGGGCAGGAAGAACGTAAGTGTCTACCTTGAGGATTGGGAGATCTTGGAGTTCCAGCTGTTCAAGAATGTCAGTGCCACATGTCTGGAAATTTTGTTGAACTATGGTATGGGGCAGAATGACGGTACCACTACAAGAATTGAGGGAATGATGTTTTTCAAGAGTGACAGGAACAGTATCGATATGGGAAAGATGAGAGAGCTCATGAGCCTGGGTAGCATTCTGTACGGTAATGATGCGCGTACCGCTCTTAAGAGCATGAAAAGAAATATCTTTACCAACATGGCGTAGGAGTGCCTTGCCAATACTGTGGTCAGAAAGATAGGCAGTAGAGGAAGTCGGTCGTAAAGTGAAGAATTTAGTCCATTGTTCAGTCTGAAACTGAGCGTGGAAAGGTAGTAAAGGACGTGTCGATCGTTTCTGAGAAGAACGAGAAAGTGGAGAAGTATCATCAGCAGGTAATTGTCGTTGGCGTTTAGGCGTGGGACCAGAGTTGGTCCGACGTGGAACGGGTCAGCGATTTGAAAATTGCCGCACCATAGAGGGAGAGGCCGGAAGCATAGTCAGAGGAGAGCGAAGGTCCGATAAATCGAAGGAGTCAGTCGAGGCCTCAGTACCTGAAGCGGGTGAGGAAACAGCACCGGCAATAGGTCCAGAGGCATGAGGAGTGTCTGAAGAGTGGTCCAAAGACGAGGCGGGGTCAGAACGGGGTGCGGTATCAAGAAGGGGCCCGGGGTAGTGGGTTTTCATGGACTAGGGCTGCCATGGTTAGGTTTACTTCTTTCTTTTTGTTTTTAAGAAAAAAAAAGAAAGAAGAAAAGAAAATAAAAATAAAAAAAGAATAAAAAAAGGGGGGGACCGGGGAGGGATAGTTCCTAGGAGGAATGAAAGGGCCAGAAATCTCCCTCCGCGCCCAAGAGGACCTCAGCACCGCAAGTAGCGCAGATGCAGCATGGAACCCGTGCCATACCCTACCCATCATGCTAGTAAACTAACAATCCGGGATAGCAACCTCACATCTGCCGAGCTACCTCGGTGGACAAAAGAGAGGGCGGCCGGATATCCGCCACAAAGCATACCTCCTTCGGCCACCACCCCCGGAATCCGAAAGGTGGCTTCCAGAGATACACCCGTTGCCCGAAAGACACCCAAAGCTACTCCGGGATACCGGAGAGGGATTGGGACATCCCCAGGCGATCCAGATTCCACGGCAAACTACGCCACCGCCAAGAACCTCAACGGAATGGGATGGACCCCGGTATCCTTTCCCTTACCTAGGAACTAGCATGCCTGTGGGAGAAATCCCAAAGGCCAAAAAGAGGAAGAGCAAAAGGGAGGGGTGGGGAGGAGGAGGAGGAAAGGAAAAAGGGGAGGATGGGATAGGGGAGGGGAGATTGGGGGGTAATTAGGTTCGGTCTGAGGAAGAAGACCGACAGGTCTAATTCCTCAGACCAAGAGCCTCTTCACCACGCCAAGGAGCCCCCCTTGAAGAGGATTTGTTTCAAAGCATTTTAGTCCTGGAATATGATGACTTTTGATAAATACGACCCAGTATTTGTTCACGTGTCTAAATCAGTTGTCAGTACCATTTACCATGGTTAGTAAGTTTATTTAGGTACAGGTACACAGGTATGCATAGCTGGAGGGTGTTATGAGAGTCAACGCCCCTGCAGCCCAGCCCATGACCAGGCCTTGTGGTGGATAAGGGCGTGATCAACCAGGCTATTATTGCTGGCTGCACAAAAACCGACATAGGAACCATGGCTCAGCTGGTCAAGTCATAGTATAACGTATGTGTAAATTACTTAGGATAACCAAAAAGGTCAGACAAAGTTACTTCCATGGGGATTAGCACTAAGACCATAGGGGTCATGCAGCACTTGGAGAAATGGTAGGATTACAGACAGTGGAGCCAAACTACACCTGTGGATTCCATCTTACATTGGTCTTCAGATGCATGATAGAACTGATGAATTGGCAAAGGCATATCTTCAAGGAGCCAGTAAATGACAGTCTTGGGCTGCCATTTAGTAGTTTTAGGACAGTAATATGAAAAGAACTTCAGATGAACTTCATTGGCTTGACTCACGAAATCGTTATGACACGATTGCAAACAAACCATACCACGGGTGGGGTTTGAACCCGCAGTCAGAAGCTGGCCCAGTGGCTAATGCGATGGTCTGGAGTTTTGAGACTTTCTGACCGTGGGTTCAAACCCCACCTGTGGTATGGTTTCATTGGCTTGAGACTGAGAGAGACTGAATCAGTCAGTTAACCTATCATCATTCTGTCATGCAGGAGGAGCCACATGTCTGTGTGCATCCAACAAAATCAACTAGGCCCTGGCTAAGCTACAAGTATCTCTGGGAGGTTGCATCAGCATCACCAGCTGATGTAGATATAACTAAATGTGGTTAGATACACTACTGTCACATCCTGCATCATTATGTTGGAATGTGATCAAATTAATGAATTCAGAAGCAACTCACAAATGTTCAAGAAATGTCAAAGTATTTTTATCCACAGTGACATCTTGCTAAAATATGAAGTAATAATAATAATTCAAAACTACATATAACCTACCCTGTAATATTTTTGTGGCTGAATTAATGTTTGCATAAATAACTCATCTTAAGGAAGGTTTTTTGGGCGAGGGACTTGGACTTCCAGCAATCGTGCGTGAGTATGTTAGAGAGGAGTGAACAGAGACGAATGGTTTTTGGGACCTGACGAGCTGTTGGAGTGTGAGCAGGGTAGCATTTTGTGAAGGGGTTCAGGGAAACCTGTTAACCAGACTTGAGTCCTGGAAGTGGGAAGTAGAGTGCCTGCACTTTAAAGGAAGGGTTTGGGATATTGGCTGCTTGACATCTAAACTGTTGTATCTGAGTACCTCTGTGAAGGCAATGATTATGTATGAATGATGGTGAAAGTGTTGAATGGTGATGAAAGTTTTTTCTTTCTTTTTGGGTCACCCTGCCTTTAGCGGGAAATGGCTGACATGTTAAAAAATGAGCATGTAAATAGTTCATTACCACTGTAACTTGTTTTGCTATGAAAACTGGGACCCTGTTCCTGGGCCCATTATGTGACTAATCTGTTGATTACCACCTGCAGGATGGGAATGTGGTGCATAATACAGATACTAAACTAACTTCTGCAAGCATTGAGTTATGCCAGCATCCATTTATATATTCCTAAAAATTGATGCTGTATGTAACTTTTGAAAATTTGATAAACTGTAAACCTAGGTTGATACTTACATATTACAATTCAAATTACTATATGCAGTATACTGTAATTATTTTTAGGATTATTTTAAAATTTTTCATATGAAATTAAAGATGAATAACATGTCTTAATTTTCTTACAGGGTAGAAAATGTAGATACCAAAAAGTCAGAAGTTTCAGTTTTGAATCATGGGTCAAAAGATCCAAAAGAAGGAGGACAGTCACACTCCCATCCATCAGTACCAGAATCCACACCTTTGGAATCATTACCTGGATTTGATGAGGATGCTGGAAGAACATGGATCTACCCTATTAATTATCCTATTAGAGATTACCAGTACTGTATTGTTGAAAAAGCATTATATAAAAATACACTTGTGTCGCTACCAACAGGTTGTTACAGTCATAAAATTTTGTATACATTTTAAAACTGGTTTGTAACAATACTATAGTGAAATAAACTTCAGTTATATATTTGCATAATAATTAACGTTATTAATATCATTCAAATTTCTAATTGCTCTTTTAATTAAGTTATTGGTAATAGACATGTTTTATATTTAACAGGTTTAGGGAAAACATTTATAGCAGCAGTTGTGATGTATAATTTTTATCGATGGTATCCACAAAGTAAAATAGTGTTTATGGCACCAACTAAGCCTCTTGTGGCACAGCAAGTTGAGGCATGCTTCAATATTATGGGCATCCCTCAGGAAGATACCTCACAAATGACAGGTTAGTGGCAATGCACTTCAACTGAATACTGTATGACTCACATGGGTTAATGTTTCTTTTTGAATACTGAATAATAATAATTGTATTAGTTACAGTACTTAAAAGACAATGAAGGAAATTTAAAGTTGGGTTGTTTGAATGTGCATGAATGTAGTATTAATAATAAGAAAGAATTTATTTTTAATGTTATGAGGGAAAGGAAGCTGGATATCATAGAACTAAGCAAAGCAAAGCAAAGCAAAGCTGAAAGGAGTGGGAGAATTTCAATGGGGGGGGGGAGTAAATGGTATTAAATTGAGTGTATCAGAAAGTACCAGAGCTAAAGGAGGAGTAGCATTGATATTAAATGATCAGCTATTAAAAGGAAGGAGAAAGTATAAAGGTTTGAATTCAAGAGTTATGTGGATTAGAGGAAATGTGGGATGTAAGAATTGGATTATAGTAAGTGCTTATACACTGGGGGTGTTGGAGTGTAGAAGAGAGATTTTTGGAGGTGGTATTAGTTTAGAGCACTAATGCTTACTTATTACATTTGTTCAGAGACCATGCATAGTTCCTCACACCGTTTAAATGCCATGCTTCATCCTATGCAAAGGCATAGGCTCTTCTTTTCTCTAACAGCCTTCTATTTTTACTTTAGTGATAAAATTCTCTCTACAGATTTCCCAACTTGAGCTATTGAATTTTCAATCTTCACATAATAGGTGATCATAACTCTTTCTTGCCTCACTGGTCATCTCCTGCCAAAGCAGGTTGAACCAAAGGAGAAAATGCATTCACTATCATTCATTCAATCACTGTCTTGCCAGAAGTGTGCTGTACTTGCAATTTGAATTACCCTCCAACTGCAGCAGTCCCACCCCTCCCTTATAGTGCATTGATGATAGGTGTACCACCAAAATCCCAGGATATATCCTTAACAAAATTGTTGTTTAAAGATTAATGTTCCTTGTTATGTTGTGATGGTGATAAAATGTTGTGGGCCGATACTGTACCCGTATTATGCCGTCAATCCCGTGCTGTTTTGTTGTGTAGTTACTGAGAGTTTGTGAAAATGATACTTCATAGCTGTTGTAACAATATAGAACTTTCATGGCTCTAGTTAGAAAAATCATAGATAAAGAATTTGATTAATAAAATGGTTTGCCATTGACAGCTTTTTTTTTTTACATAAGTATTTTCTTTAAGATATTGCTTTTAATTCCTGAAGGCTACTGAAATGTTAAGATCTTGATAAATGAAAGACATAATTAGAGAGTAAGCCTTTATTAAAATTCATTTTTCACTTGGTGGGAACTCTCATTGAGTGAAATGTTGAAATGTGAAATGGCTTGCTCTGCATACATGTCTTTGATTTCGTATATGTCGGTACTTACTGCCTATCATTCGAAGAGATATTAGGCTGGGCAAGCCATTTAGAAATGACATTGCCCTCTTCAGGATGAAAAATATATTACAGGTAACAAATTCTTCCTATCTCAGGTACAATGTCTCTGGAAAACAGGGCTAAAGCTTGGACACAGAAGCGAATATTCTTCCTCACACCACAGGTTTTGACAAATGATCTGACTCGAGGGGTTTGTCCAGGAACACTGATTAAGTGTTTGGTACTGGACGAGGCTCACCGTGCTACTGGAAATTATTCATATTGTCAGGTGAGAATTTCCTTGGTATAAATATTGTATACAAATTACTGTACTCATATTTTTGTCATTTTTATTTAATGTGATTTTTTCATATACAGTTATTAGAAAATGTTATGTACAATACTACTTTAGTGTATACAATAATATTTAATAATCCAGAGGGTAAAATGAATGTGCCATTTCCTAACTTACTGGTAATTTGTTTATGTTTGGAGTATCAGATCTAATTAGCAATCTAATCTTTACAGAATATTTATGTGCTGGACTGGTGTAGCAGCCAAATACTATGTATTCAGAGTCACTGGGGCCCAGAGATTTCTCCTAGTTCAGAAATTCCCTATTATAAATATTCAGAAAGTGTATTTAAAAGAAAAATTTCTGGCTTCCAAATTCATCAAAGGCTTATAAAGTTGTGATAGATGATTTAATCTGACATAGAAGTAGTTAGGGGATCTGGAAAGACGTATTGTAATACTGTATTTGGGAACTGGAGAAATACTGTAATATTTAGGAATTGGAAAGAAGCACTGTAATATTTGGGAATGCTGTAATATTTGGGAATGCTGTAATATTTAGGAATTGGAAAGAAGTACTGTAATATGAGTAGCATTATCGTAGTAAGCAGTAACTATTTTATATTGTTCTTTCCTATTTTTTTTGCTCTTTCTAGGAATTTAATTTTTCTGCTTAATTTAATTTCTTCAGACTATAATATTTATTTTTTATTTATTTTAGGTGATTCATGTACTTCGACAACACCGTCATGACTTTCGCATTTTGGCCCTCTCAGCAACTCCAGGAACTGATGTGAGGGCTGTTCAACAGGTTTGTTTCTTCATTCTTTACTTTGTATTTTTTAATGACAAATTGAATTTGAGGATGGGTGGTTTCTTTAAACTCATCAAAGGGAGTGGAGTTGAAAGTCATGGCCAGCTAGTCTTAAAATTAGCAGGCCAGTGCACTATACCATGCCAGCCTAATAAGATTTGTACAACTAGGTGTATATTTATACTTGCTAGGAAGATTAGCAGGGCCCCCACTGTGACTACAAATAAGAAAGCTAATATTTATGCAAGGCATTTTTGGGCAGATTAAACTAAGAGTAATACTAACAGACTTTAACATTTATGCAGTGTTACACATACCTAAAACACAATGTATATGATGATGAAAAATACTATATATAGTAATGCTAAATTGAATGAACATATTTATTATATACAGTATATAATATTCCTTGGTGGAATTTGAACCAGGGTTCAAAAAATACTTTGATATTTCTTTTTCAATGAACCAGCCATATCCCACTGAGGCAGGGTGACCTACAAAGAGAAATAAAAGTTTCTCTTTTTAAATTTAGTAATGTATATAGGAGAGGGAGTTACTATCCCCTAAAATGCTTGATATATTTGCCAGTAATAAAGCACAAATATAATGATAAACTACTGTACATAGGATTTTTTGTGTACTGGACATATCAGTGGGTGAGGTGCAGGACAGTGGGAGGTCTGCTCACTCACGTCACACCCTCACACAATTAATAGTGCCCTCATTACTACCTTCCCATATTATATAACCAGGCATCTGATACCCCACCATAACAGTGAGAGAGTGGTGAGTATATGCAAGTTTTGAGTTAGATATGATGTAAGAGATGGTGGGGTTGAATAGGAGAGTGAGAATGAGAGAGGGAAGTTGACCAGCTGCTACCTTCTCCTACATGTAAGAGATGGTAGGGGTGAATAGGAGAGTGAGAATGAAGAAAAGGGAGATGTTCTAGCTGCTACCTGCTCCTGCTTATCTGCTGTACTGTATGCTGTACTGTATGCTGTACTGTATCTGTTCTGTTTTATAAACATGTATACATTAATCAAATAATGTTTACTACTATTTACAAGTGATACAGCACAACACTGAATGTAAAATATTGTATAAATATTCTTTGTTAATAAAAGTAAATGAAATGGGATACAAAATATCATGGCTTGGGAAAGCATCTCCACTTGTCATATGAGTTTTATAGGAAAATAGGTTCCAGCTTCTGAACACTCAGCTTACTCATGGAGGGAAACCTGTATTTGAAAGCATTTTGAAAATGTATAGAATATTGAGACATGTAGTATATTATGTTTGTGAATGTCATACTGCCGTTGTATATTATGTCATTTTTTATGATGTATGGTAAATGTTGTGCTTTTGTTTCAGGTGTTAACAAATTTGATGATATCACACATAGAACTTCGAAGTGAGGATAGTCCAGATATACAGGCATATGTCTTCCATCGCAGTATAGAAAAGATTGTTGTACCTTTAGGAAATGAGCTAAGCATCCTCAAAAAGAGATATCTCAATGTTCGTAAATACCATTATTCTGTGTATTTTTTTTTTAACAGCCTCCAAATTGTTGTTTCCTGCCATTAAGAAGGTTTTCTGATATTTTTATAAGATTAAATTAAGAAGTTTTATGTACTATAATTACTGGACTACTGATAAACATGGTAAGATACTAAGTTCAGAACAAACTTTTATTTAATGATGTTTTGTTCATTGAAAAACATTGTCTCCGAGTGAAATTTCAGTAAATAAAGGTTTGCTCTATACGTAGTGTCTTCATACTATAAGTTCTTTATTGCAATGATGTGTTTATACAATAAAGTTATGATGCAATTCTCTAATAAAGAGTGGCTGGCCAGTAATGGTGATTTTGATCGGTAGAGATGAGACTGTTGTACCATGATGGCCACAATAATGGACAGTTCTGTAATTGAATAAGGCATATATGTAACACCTGGGTATCTGTATTCTACATGCATCTTATTTATCTACCTGTCAGTGTTGTAAACCATAAGTATATAAGTCCATAGCAAATAAACTTTGACCATCGTTTCTGAATCATTTCACCCAGTGGATTATGTTCGTTTTTCTGAATTCCATTAAATCAAGAGTGTACTATGATGTGCTGTTGACAGTCTTGTATAAAAGTTTTGCTGCTGATTTAAAGTTGTTCATACATTAATAGTACATGAAATATTTGTTTATTGTGAGGAGGGAAGGGAGTATAAAAGATAAAATTATTGAGGTATATTGTTGCTAAAGTCAGTTTTATTTTTATTATCAGTTAAGTATTTAGAACATAAAGAACAAAAAGGCACAATACCATGACTGGAACAATACACAAATAACCCCCACATAGGAGTTTCTCACATGTGCAGGTTATTTATATATTTAGTATATAATTCAGTAGCTCTTACTGTATTTGCATGTCTGATAGATGCAACAAAATTTATTGGTTAAAAATGTTTTTAATTTCTAACAATTTTCTAGGTACTGAAAGTGTACATTAGTAAACTACTGGATATGAAGGTGTTGTATACAAAAGATGAAACTACACTGTCAAAATTTCAGGTAAACAATTTGAATGTTTATTCACTGGATAGACTATATAATCATGCATCCTTATTTATGTGGATATAATAAATAATAATGTAAACTGTATTCTCTGGTTAAAGCTCATATTAGTAGCTTGTTTTGAAAGTTGTTTATCTATCTACAGTTGTGTAAAAGGCATCTACTTTATATTTTATATCACTCAATTTATATAGAGTATTTTTGACCCATTGTACATATTCACTGTGCCACCAGTCAACACTTAGTGTGTAAATCAATGAAAAAATTGTGCATTATGTATAGAGAAATTGGTATGACTCAGGGGGCTGAGGAGAGGTTATTGAAGTGGTTTAGGCATTTATAAATAATGTTACAGGGTGTATAAATCATTAGTGGAAGGAAGGAGGGGTAGGGGTTGTCTCAGGAGGAGTTTGAGAAGTAAGATAAAGGAGGTTTTGCATGCAGGGGGCTTGAGCATCCTGCCAGCTTGTTTGAATGCATTAGATCAGAGTGGAGACAAGTGGTTGTTATAGCTTGATATACTGTGGGAGTGTGAGCAAGATAACATTTATGAGGAGATTCAGGAAAGCTGAAGGACATTTGGGGATCTTGCAATTTTGGTGGTTATTTAAATTGTGTTGTTTGCTCACTTTTAGCAAGACCATTATTGAATTAATGATGGTTAATATGTTTCCTTTTTCTTGAGGTCACCATACTTTGGTGGAAGATGGCTTGTGTTAAACAAAAAAATTCTTTGGATAATTCTTTTTAAGCAAAACTTGAAATTGTTTGTTTGTTTGTTAATCTCCTTGGTTATGATTTACTTTTCACACCATCCACATGAGGTCATTTCCCCAACAAGACTGGATGATACAAAGAAGAGAACACATTCACCATCAATCATGACCTAACTTTCATTCCAGAAGGGCATAAATAATTTGATCAAAACTGCAAAATCCTCAACCCATTTTCATTTATTACATTTTTATATAAAAAAATCTTTCACCCATTGAAGTTCAGTACTGAAGAAAGTTTTTAGTTTAATAGCTCTATTTGTATCGTATTCCCATCTTATGGGCAGTAATCAAAAGATTACAGAGGCACATATTGGATCCAGGAATTTGTCACTAGTATTCTGTTGACTGAGTAAGTTACAGTAAAAATGAACTGTTTCATGTAGCAATATTGATAATATAGCTTTGAATAACTACTGAATATCTACTGTCTGCAAGAAGCATTAAATGTTTAATTTTCTCAGATTTTCCAGGCTCGAGAAGCGTTTCGTCAGAACCCCCCAGACAGCCTTCCACGAGAGAGATATGGTGTTGTTCATGGGTTGTTTGCTCTTTGTATAACACTCTACCATTCGTATGAGCTAATGTTGAAACATGGCACAAGGTCATTTTATACATTTTTGAAAGGTATTGTAAGTTTTTTATTATACTGTACAGTATTGTATTTTCTGTCTAATGTAGAATGTTCATGTTGTATCTTTTAAGGTTATATTGACTATGGAAGTTTTCCTTTATTCCAGATGCTGTGTATCTACCTGTTATTCATAACTTCAGTTCTACCTGTATTCATAGTATGGCTATGATAATAATAATAATAATAATAATAATTGTAATTTTTTTTTAACACTGGCCATCTTCCACCAAGATACAGTGGTCCCTCAATTATCATCCTTAATCCATTCCTGGAAATGGGACTATTATAGAAATAGACAATTTTTGAATCAATTTTCCCCCATAAGAAATAATGTAAATACAATTAATCCGTTCCTGACACCCAGAAGTATTAAAACAAAAATTTTTTTTACATGAAATATAGATGTAGTACATAAACAATACAATGGGACATGATGAATGGAACATTAACAGCATAACACTTACCTTTATTGGTGATTCTTCTTAGTGTATGGAAGACTGGAGGAGGAGAGAGATTGAATTACTGTTTGGAAGGGGAATCCCCTTCCATCAACACCTCAGGTACCAAGTGCTTTTCTGGGGTTACTTCTCTTCTCTGTTTCTTAATGCCACTAGGACCAGCTTGAGAGTCACTGGAGTCCTGTCTCGCAAAAAAAACTGTCCAGAGAGCTCTGTTTCTGGCGTCTCTTTAAAACTTCCCTAAAATGGGCCAAGACTCTGTCACTGTACAAGTTGCCAATATGGCTTGCAACATCCTTCTCAGGGTGATGTTTCTCCATAAATCTTTCCATCCTACCCCACATTTCAAAAATCTCCTTAATTTCTGAAGAAGGCACCTTCTTCCATCTCTTTTCCTCCTCCTCTGCAGCAAGATTCTGAGCTGCGATCTGTTGCTCTTCCTGCTGAAGCTCTTGCAGCTCCTCAGTGGTTAGCTCTTTGTTGTGGTCCTCCACCAACTCTTTCACATCCTTCAAACTCACATCCAACCCCATGGAACTCCCCAGTGCCACAATAGAGTTCACAACTGACATAGGCTCATCAGGGGCCACCTCAAACCCTTCAAAATTCCTCTTGTGGACACAATCTGGCCACAAGTTTCTCCAAACAGAGTTCCAAGTCCTGGTAGTCACTCCCTCCCAAGCCTTACCTATAAGGCTTATGCAATGGAGAATACTGAAGTGTTCTTTCCAAAAATCTCTTAGGGTCATGTGAATGTCTGAGGTCACATTAAAGCACCTTTCAAACATTGCTTTGGTGTAGAGTCTTTTAAAGTTTGAAATGACCTGCTGGTCCATGGGCTGGAGGAGAGGAGTGGTATTTGGGGGCAAGAACTTTACTGTGATGAACCCAAACTCCTTCAGAATTAGGTCATCCAAGTTTGGAGGATGAGCAGGTGCATTGTCCATTACTAGGAGGCACTTGAGATCCAATTTCTTTTCCAGGAGGTAATTCTTCACACTAGCGTCAAACACTTCATTGAACCACTCGACAAAAATTTCCCTCGTGACCCATGCCTTATTATTAGACCTCCAAAACACACACAATTTACTCTTCATAACATTATTTTTCTTGAACACTCTAGGGTTTTCAGAATGGTACACTAGTAACAGCTTCACTTTGAAATCCCCACTAGCATTAGCACAGAACATGAGCGTCAGCCTGTCTTTCATGGGCTTGTGTCCTGGCAGTGCCTTTTCTTCCTGAGTAATGTAGGTCCTCTTTGGCATTTTCTTCCAAAAGAGGCCTGTTTTGTCACAATTGAACACTTGTTCAGGTTTCAGTCCTTCAGCCTCTATGTACTCCTTGAATTCCTGCACATATTTTTCAGCCACTTTTTGGTCCGAACTGGCAGCCTCACCATGCCTTATCACACTGTGTATGCCAGTACTCTTCTTAAATCTCTCAAACCAGCCTTTGCTGGCCTTAAATTCACTCACATCATCACTAGTTGCAGGCAATTTCTTTACCAAATCTTCATGCAACTGCCTAGCCTTTTCACATATAATTGACATCATAAGATTATCTCCTGCTAATTGTTTCTCGTTTATCCACACCAATAATAACTTCTCAACATCTTCGAGTACTGGTGAACTCATTTTTGTCAGCATATTTACCCCCTTTTCAACAAGAGCTTCCTTGATTTCCTTTTTCTTGGCTATGATGGAAGATATGGTTGTACGGGGTTTGTTATATATCCTGGCCAGTTTGCCCACATGTACGCCACTTTCATATTGTTCAACGATGTTTTTCTTAAATTCAATCGTATTTCTAACCTTCTTTACCAAAGGCTTGGCACTAGGAGCTTTCTTTGGAGCCATGGTAGCTTATTTAGCACTTGCAAGTACTAAAATAAATGGAATATCATGAAATAATTTGTATGAACACATGAGGGGACCGTCGCTCACTGGTAAACAATGGCACAATGGCTGGGAAGGGAGGCCGAGGCGGCTCAGAGCCATGAGTACACGTCCAGGATGAAAGGCGATTAGCGAATTAACGGACCATTTGCGAGCCAATGTTTAGACGAAATAACGCGACGATTTCCAAAATGGACGGCTATCAAGCCGGATGATTATTGAGGGACCACTGTAATAATAATAATCATAGAGTAATAAATAATAGTAGTAATAATAATTCTCCATGGGGAAGTGGAAAAGAATTCTTCCTCCGTGAGCCATGCATGTCGTAAGAGGCATCTAAAATGCCAGGAGCAAGGGGCTAGTAACCCCTTCTTCTGTATACATTACTAAATTTATAAAGAGAAACTTTTGTTTTTCTTTTTGAGCCACCCCACCTCGGTGGGATATGGTCAGTGCATTGCAAGAAAGAAGACGTAATAATAATAATAATAATAATAATAATAATAATAATAATACTGTATATTACCACATATTACAGGTCAGCCATCACTAATCCGGCATCAATGGGACCTGTAGTGTACTGGATTAGTGAATTTGCTGGATTACAGAGTGGTTAGATTAGAATACACTCAATTAACCTATCAATAGAGACATGCACTGCTATATCTTCCTCATTTTCATCACTGCTTTCTCCTCCACTGGCTTGCTGCTGTGGATTTACAAACATCTGCACACTTTCTGAATCAGTATAATGATGAAATTTGAGACAGTATATAGATTTGAATCAATATAATGATGAAATTTGAAATTATGCTAGCCGAAATTAGTGCCTGATTGTTGATGGAACCGGATAACTGACTGCCAGATTAGTGATGGCCGACCTGTATTGGTTCTGACAGAGTGTAAGATGAATCTTAGTGAATCACTAACTGAACTTTTTAATAATCACTCCAGTCAGGTGTAGTGCCAGAGATGTGGAAGACAGCTAATGTAATTCATGTCTTTAAATCATGACAAGTCATTGCTGCCAAATTACTGCCCAGTAATCTGACTTCAGTAGTTAGGCAAATTATTAGAGTCAATTAGATAAACATAATTTGATTAACGAATCTCAACACGGATGCACAAAAGGTCATGCATGTCTGACAAATTAACTGACCTGCAATAAAACATTTGAAGTACTGGATCATGATAAAGAATACAGTGCTTCTTATTAGGATTGCAGAAAGGCTTTTGATAGGGTCTCACACAAAAGATTGTAAAAAAAAAGTGGCAGCATAATTAAAATGTGCTACAGTAGGCCTACTGGCCCATGGAAGGTAGGTCCTTCACAGTTTCAACCATTAATTGAATCTTACAAGAGAAAAATTTATTTTGACAGGAACACTAGACAGTAAAAATGGCAACAGTTTGGCACGATTTGAACTTCTTCGCAATCAGAACTTCAAGGAACTTATGGAAGAACTATCACAGAAGTTTGACATAAAATCAAATTTGTCAGAGTCTTCAAAAGGAGAATCATCAGGGATGTTTTCTAAGGTGTGTATCTATTTTTTTTTTAAACACGCTAGTTGTCTCCCACTGGAGCAGGGTGACCCAAGAAAGAATCACTTTCACCATCGTTCACACCATCACTGTCTTGCCAGAGGCACGCAGATATGACATTTGAGATATTCGTTTAAACAGTAGATATCCCAAACCCCTTCTTTAGGGTGCAGGCTCTGTACTTTCCACAGTTTTAGCTAATGTATTCTGTAGATTTTCAGTGCAATACATTTATTCCAATGTATTTTTTAAAAAAAAAAAGTGCTATCCACCAAGATGTCAATTTCTTATGCAGCATCCTCTAATTGTTGCAGTTTATCTTGAACAACTTGAAGGGTGAGGCCCGGATGCTGGTAAAGGGCTCCTTTTCCTTGTGTCACACTTTTATTTCCCATCCTTCAGGCACTTTGACCCATGTGAATTTAGCAGCTCTCTATAAAAATGGTTGTAATTGGTGATCCCAGTATCATATAGTGAATCCTAAATTAAAAAATACTTTTAAATAATTTTCTTCCCCGTTTTGCAGTGGCTTTTCATAATACGTATCTTCCTACATTATTCACTTGCTGCAATATTTTTCAACCTTTACCCAGGTCTTATGATTCAAATCTTTCTGTATGTTTAGTAAAATTTTGTATTTTTTTTTTTTAATATTGGAATTATAATGATCTTTCTTCATATCTCATGCCGTTACATGTATCCTTGAATGTATGCAATTATACAGAATCATCATTAGACATGTCTTCCATAGCATAAGTGTTACAGTGTGTGATTAACAACAACTCAGCTGGAATTAGTAAATGGAGGCTTGAGCCTCCATCACTCCTTACATTCAGTGACCCAGACAGTTTTAGCACAGTGTTACAAAGGAAGAATTTATATGTTTGTATTCTTGGTCTTATTACTATTCCTTTTATATCCATGGGGAAGTGGAATAAGAATCTTTCCTCCGTAAGCCATGCGTATTGTAAAAGTCAACTAAAATGCCGGGAACAATGGGCTAGTAACCCCTTTTCCTGTAAAGATTACTGAAAAGAATGAGAAGAAGAAAATTGTCAAAGTGGGAAGTCTGAATGTGCGTGGATGTTGTGCAAATGATAAGAAAGAGATGATTGTGGATGTTATGAATGAGAAGAAACTGGATGTCCTGGCTTTAAGTGAAACAAAGCTGAAGGGGGTGGGAGAGTTTCAATGGAGAGGAATAAATGGGATTAGGTCAGGGGTTTCAAATAGAGTTAGAGCTAAAGAAGGAGTAGGAATAATGTTGAAGGATAAGCTATGGCAGGAAAAGAGGGACTACAAATGTATAAATTCAAGGATTATGTGGAGTAAAATAAAGATTGGATGTGAAAAGTGGGTTATAGTAAGCGTGTATGCACCTGGAGAAGAGAGAAGTGTAGAGGAGAGAGAGAGATTCTGGGAAATGTTGAGTGAATGCGTGGGGAGTTTGAATCAAGTGTGAGAGTAATGGTGGTTGGGGATTTCAATGCTAAAGTGGGTAAAAATGTTATGGAGGGAGTAGTAGGTAAATTTGGGGTGCCAGGGGTAAATGTAAATGGGGAGCCTTTAATTGAGCTATGTGTAGAAAGAAATTTGGTAATAAGTAATACATATTTAATGAAAAAAGGATAAATAAATATACAAGGTATGATGTAGCATGTAATGAAAGTAGTTTGTTAGATTATGTATTGGTGGATAAAAGGTTGATGGTTAGGCTCCAGGATGTACATGTTTATAGAGGGGCAACTGATATATCGGATCATTATTTAGTTGTAGCTACAGTTAGAGAAAGAGGTAGATGGGAAAAGAGGAAGGTGGTAACAACAAGTAAGAGGGAGGTGAAAGTGTATAAACTAAGGGAGGAGGAAGTTCAGGCGAGATATAAGCAGCTATTGGCAGAAAGGTGGGCTAGTGCAAAGATGAGTAGTGGGGGGGTTGAAGAGGGTTGGAATAGTTTTAAAAATGCAGTATTAGAATGTGGGGCAGAAGTTTGTGGTTATAGGAGGAAAGAGGAGTGATTGGTGGAATGATGAAGTAAAGGGTGTGATAAAAGAGAAAAAGGTAGCTTATGAGAGGTTTTTACAATACAGAAGTGTTATAAGAAGAGCAGAGTATATGGAGAGTAAAAGAAAGGTGAAGAGAGTGGTGAGAGAGTGCAAAAGGAGAGCAGATGATAGAGTGGGAGAGGCACTGTCAAGAAATTTTAATGAAAATAAGAAAAAATTTTGGAGGGAGTTAAACAAGTTAAGAAAGCCTAGGGAAAGTATGGATTTGTCAGTTAAAAACAGAGTAGGGGAGTTAGTAGATGGGGAGAGGGAGGTATTAGGTAGATGGCGAGAATATTTTGAGGAACATTTAAATGTTGAGGAAGAAAGGAAGGCGGTAATTTCATGCACTGGCCAGGGAGGTATACCATCTTTTAGGAGTGAAGAAGAGCAGAATGTAAGTGTGGTGCAGGTATGTGAGGCATTACATAGAATGAAAGGGGGTAAAGCAGCTGGAACTGATGGGATCATGACAGAAATGTTAAAAGCAGGGGTGATATAGTGTTGGAGTGGTTGGTACTTTTGTTTAATACAGTGGACCCCCGCATAACGATGGCATCACATAGCGATTTTTCCGCATACCGATTACTTTTATCGCAAAATTTTTGCCGCGCATACCGATTAAAAACCCGCTTACCGATTTTCGTCCGAGACGCGTCCAATGTGCCCTCACATGTGCCGGCCGTCCCATTGTTTACCAGCCAGCCTCCGCGGTAACATCCAAGCATACACTCGGAATATTTCGTATTATTACAGTGTTTTCGGTGCTGTTTCTGGAAAATAAGTGACCATGGGCCCCAAGAAAGCTTCTAGTGCCAACCCTGTGGTAAAAAGGGTGAGAATTAGTATGGAAATTAAGAAAGATTTTGAAGGGTTTGGGGCTAACCCTGAGAAGCCTATGCCAGTTGTGGAATCCATTGTGCCTACTTCAAAGATTAAGGAAATGTGTGCACAGTGGGTTGAACTGCAAACCTTTATAGATGAAAATCACCCTGACACAGCTGTTGCAAGCCGTGCTGGTGACTATTTCAATGACAATGTTATGGCCCATTTTAGGAAAGTCTTGAAGGAACGGGAGGTACAGAGCTCTATGGACAGATTTGTTGTGCGACAGAGGTCCAGTGACTCTCAAGCTGGTCCTAGTGGCATTAAAAGAAGAAGGGAAGTAACCCCAGAAAAGGACTTGCTACCTCAAGTCCTAATGGAAGGGGATTCCCCTTCTAAACAGTAAGAAGATAATGCTCTCCCCTCCTCCCATCCCATCAATCATCACCAGATCTTCAATAAAAGTAAGTGTCATTTAATTGTGCATGCCTTTTTCAGTTTGTGTGTATTAAAATTAACATTTCATGTGGTAAAAAAAAATTTTTTTCATACTTTTGGGCGTCTTGCACGGATTAATTTTATTTCCATTATTTCTTATGGGGAAAATTCATTCGCATAACGATTATTTCGCATAACGATGAGCCCTCTTGCACGGATTAAAATCGTTAACCGGGGGTCCACTGTAAATGTATGAAAGAGGGGAAGGTACCTAGGGATTGGCGGAGAGCATGTATAGTCCCTTTATATAAAGGGAAAGGGGACAAAAGAGATTGTAAAAATTATAGAGGAATAAGTTTACTGAGTATACCAGGAAAAGTATACGGTAAGGTTATAATTGAAAGAATTAGAGGTAAGACAGAATGTAGGATTGCGGATGAGCAGAGAGGCTTCAGAGTGGGTAGGGGATGTGTAGATCAAGTGTTTACATTGAAGCATATATGTGAACAGTATTTAGATAAAGGTAGGGAAGTTTTTATTGCATTTATGGATTTAGAAAGGGCATATGATAGAGTGGATAGAGAGCAATGTGGCAGATGTTGCAAGTATATGGAATAGGTGGTAAGTTACTAAATGCTGTAAAGAGCTTTTATGAGGATAGTGAGGCTCAGGTTAGGGTGTGTAGAAGAGAGGGAGAATACTTCCTGGTAAAAGTAGGTCTTAGACAGGGATGTGTAATGTCACCATGGTTGTTTAATATATTTATAGATGGGGTTGTAAAAGAAGTAAATGCTAGGGTGTTTCGTGGAGAGGGGTGGGATTAAATTATGGGGAATCAAATTCAAAATGGGAATTGACACAGTTACTTTTTGCTGATGATACTGTGCTTATGGGAGATTCTAAAGAAAAATTGCAAAGGTTAGTGGATGAGTTTGAGAAAGTGTGTAAAGGTAGAAAGTTGAAAGTGAACATAGAAAAGAGTAAGGTGATGAGGGTATCAAATGATTTAGATAAAGAAAAATTGGATATCAAATTGGGGAGGAGGAGTATGGAAGAAGTGAATGTTTTCAGATACTTAAGAGTTGACGTGTCGGTGGATGGATTTATGAAGGATGAGGTTAATCATACAATTGATGAGGGAAAAAAGGTGAGTGGTGCATTGAGGTATATGTGGAGTCAAAAAATGTTATCTATGGAGGCAAAGAAGGGAATGTATGAAAGTATAGTAGTACCAACACTCTTATATGGATGTGAAGCTTGGGTGGTAAATGCAGCAGCGAGGAGACGGTTGGAGGCAGTGGAGATGTCCTGTTTAAGGGCAATGTGTGGTGTAAATATTATGCAGAAAATTCGGAGTGTGGAAATTAGGAGAAGGTGTGGAGTTAATAAAATCATTAGTCAGAGGGCAGAAGAGGGGTTGTTGAGGTGGTTTGGTCATTTAGAGAGAATGGATCAAAGTAGAATGACATGGAAAGCATATAAATCTATAGAGGAAGGAAGGAGGGGTAGGGGTCGTCCTCGAAGGGGTTGGAAAGAGGGGGTAAAGGAGGTTTTGTGGGCGAGTGGCTTGGACTTCCAGCAAGCGTGCATGAGCGTGTTAGATAGGAGTGAATGGAGACGAATGATACTTGGGACCTGACGATCTGTTGGAGTGTGAGCAGGGTAATATTTAGTGAAGGGATTCAGGGAAACCGGTTATTTTCATATAGTTGGACTTGAGTCCTGGAAATAGGAAGTACAATGCCTGCACTTTAAAGGAGGGGTTTGGGATATTGGCATTTTGGAGGGATGTGTTGTGTATCTTTATTCGTATATGCTTCTAAACTGTTGTATTCTGAGCACCTCTGCAAAACAGTGATAATGTGTGAGTGTGGTGAAAGTGTTGAATGGTGATGAAAGTATTTTCTTTTTGGGGATTTTCTTTCTTTTTTGGGTCACCCTGCCTCGGTGGGAGACTGCCGACTTGTTGAAAAAAAAAAAAAATTATTGGAGCTACATACTGGTTTGGTTTTCACATTTCTTGAGCAATTGCAATATTCTTGTGCAGAAAAATTACAATGAGTGGAGAGGATGTGAGATAACTCAACCAGAATATGATAGTGGGAAATTTGAAGAAGCAGGAAAGACAGAGATACAGATAAGGAAAGTGAAAAGGTAACTAAATAACATAAAAAATAACATAAATGTGAGAAGGATGATTCAGTTTCCTGTCTCCAAGGCAGTACTTCTTTAATAATTAGGCTAACCAATCTGCTCCTTGTCTAACTGCTGTGAATTTATTGGGTCTTTTAACAGATTGGAGGTCCACAGTCTTCAGAGGTAAAGTGTGAGCTGCCATATGTAAGTCACCCAAAACTGACTAAATTACTAACCATTGTTGTTGACCATCACAAGAAGTTTGCTGCTGAAGGAAAGTCAACAAAAATCATGATATTTTCTCAGGTGATTTATTTGAAACTTCATTTTGTTATAAGATTTATTATATTCAGTATGCATATGGATATCCAATTTAGTGTCTTGGCTAAGCCAAGACACTAAATTGGATTTTATTATACAAGCTTACTATTGTGTTAAAAGTGGGGAAAAATCCCTCTGCAGAATCTGTAATAATAGACATGAAAAATAAATTTGCACTTCTGGGATTCATAAAAATATTTAGCATCTTAATTGTTACTTTGGTTATTCAGTTGTCATGTTAATAAAATAGTAAAACAATACAACCATATATAATTTATAGTTCTTTTTTCCTGTAGTTATGTGTGTTATTGGTGACTAAATTTTCTGGATAGTTAAGGTTTGGATTGTATGAAAGAGTGAGGGCCAAATGTTGCAGTATTGTTTAGTAAAAAGATTGGATGGGAACTTTTTATTTTGAGAAGTGTGTAGCTGAAACCAAAAGAAGAATGTGAGAAGATGATTGTCAGTACTGAAATACTTGCTGAGAGACAGTGGCTTAAACATCCATCAGGCATATATTGACATGTTAGATGATTATGCATGGCAGCATGTGGTTTATGGGATTTGACCCACGTTTCAGTGTGAGCTTGGTAATGTCTACGAAGGGATTCAAGGTAACTGAGAAGCTAAACAAAGTTTTGGAGGTGGAAATAGAGTACTTGTACTTTGAAAATATTGTGTAAAGTTTGCAGTTTGGTGGGTCAACAATGGACTGCAATATATTAACTTTTGCATACATATACAGTTAGCCAGTGAGTGACAGTGAGGGTGATTTCTTCTTTGTGTCACTGTCCGGGGGAAATTATACAAAATAATAACTCCCCTGTGTTGAACCACTGTTCATATGTTTGTCATTCATTGGTTTAGATGGGATTATATTGTACAACTATAAACTAGTGTAAGGTTAACAGGATATTGAAATAAAGTTAAAACCCTGGAAAACAACAGTGGGAAGTGCAAAATTTTAGTCTAGTATTACTGAATGTTTTGAATCTTAAAAATGTACTGTTTATATTACTGATGCACTGCCTTCTTTCTTACATAAAGTACAGAGACAGTGTTCAGGAAATCACAGAAATGCTACAACTTCAACATCCACTTGTAAAGGCAATGTGTTTTATGGGTCAGTCTACTGGAGTTCGAGGAGACCGGGGGTTTTCCCAGAAGGAACAACTAAAGGCTAGTGCTTCAGTCAGTTTAATTTATCAATTACACCTTCCCCTTTTCCTCATTATAAGTAAACAGTTTACCTTAATGTGTGAAATTTGTCTGTTTGTTTTAATTAATGTATATGCTTGTACTAGTTAAAATAAAATGTGAACTTGCATCATTATATTATAATAGTATGAAATACAGTGAATCCTTTCGTTAACAGACTAACAGTATTAAAGGGATGTGCAATATTGCCGATTGTCCAAAACTTCCGAATAATGAAATTAATTTTATATGATCAATCAAGTTGTCTTCTGAAGTAGTGGATTTCGTCTGCTGATGCAGAAGACAACTGGATAGTAAGAATATGGGTATTGTAACCTGTAGTACTACAGTACTGTATGTCTAACAAAATTGTAATGACACGATTGGTGAGGTTAGTACTGTATGTGATTTACAGTAATTTAACTTGCTTTGTCATGATGGAGAGATGATGTGTAAACTGCTGTGATTTGATAGTGGTGACTCAGAATGACTTACAGTATTCTGTGTCAAAGGAGCTGTTAAGTTCCACCAACATCTGCACCAAGCTTAAGAGCATAGTCTGTAAGTTTGTCCTTGCTTCTACGGACACTGTTTCTTAACACTAGATTCCTCACATTCCCATACTACTGAGATGCTCGACTCAACCTTCTTTATTAGTTCAAGTTTCTGCTTAACAGTGAGAACCACACATTTCCTCTGGGCACCACTACTTGCTTTAGAAGCCATTGTTAATTGCACTTTATTTAATATGTTAATAAAGTCACACAAAACCCTCTGAATCCAGGGAAAATTAGACACTGAATAGTGAGTGTATGAGTGAGTGGGCACAAACAATAAACTGGCACTGGTGGCTCACAGCTCAGGGAACAATAAAACAGACAAGTCCTTGATGTGACCTGTAGCAGACAAATGTCAGAATCACAAGGCTTGGTCTGATACTTCAGAAGACAACCAGAGGTCTGATACTTCAGAAGACAACCAGACACTATTATTATGGACAAAATTTGGAACTGCAGACTTTTGTCCATTTTGTCTGATACTTCCAATGTTTGTCTGGAATTTCTTTTTGTCTGAAACTTCCAAAATGAGAGGTTTATTAATGAGAAGTTTTACTAATATATTTTTTCAATAGGTGGTGAAAGAGTTCAGAGAGGGAGGTTTCAACACGCTGATTTCCACTTGTGTCGGAGAAGAAGGTGAGTGGTTTGCTATAGAATTTTCTGTGATGGGGCTGTGGTGAGCCAATAGGATTACAACCAGCATTCTTTAAACATCACATACGTGGTCATAATCAGCATCACAGTGTTATGTTTTAAGATATGGAGTGAACAATAGTAAATATTCCATTAATATTTAACAGGCTTAGGGATTTGAATAAGGGAATAGTGTGTTGCCTGAATTTTGAGTTTATGACATACGTATGTTTGAGTTATGTATATAATTTGTGTTGTAGATTGCAGTACCACCTCTCCTTTTTGTTGTAGCTTACGCTGTATTTGTGTTTAGCGATTTGTGTTTGCCTTGATGTGTTTAAGATTAATTTTTCTTAGGTTCAGGCTTTATTACTCATATAAACTGTTTTTGGGACCTGACAAGCTGTTGGAGTGAGAGCAGGGTAATATTTAGTAAAGGGATTCAGTTAGAGTAAGAGGTAGATGGGAAAAGAGGAAGGTGGCAACAAAAAGTAAGAGGGAGGTGAAAGTGTATAAACTAAGGGAGGAGGAAGTTTGGGTGAGATATAAGCGACTATTGGCAGAAAGATGGGCTAGTGCAAAGATGAGTAGTGGGGGGGTTGAAGAGGGTTGGAATAGTTTTAAAAATGCAGTATTAGAATGTGGGGCAGAAGTTTGTGGTTATAGGAGGGTGGGGGCAGGAGGAAAGAGGAGTGATTGGTGGAATGATGAAGTAAAGGGTGTGATAAAAGAGAAAAAGTTAGCTTATGAGAGGTTTTTACAAAGCAGAAGTGTTATAAGAAGAGCAGAGAATATGGAGAGTAAAAGAAAGGTAAAGAGAGTGGTGAGAGAGTGCAAAAGGAGAGCAGATGATAGAGTGGGAGAGGCACTGTCAAGAAATTTTAATGAAAATAAGAAAAAATTTTGGAGTGAGTTAAACAAGTTAAGAAAGCCTAGGGAAAGTATGGATTTGTCAGTTAAAAACAGAGTAGGGGAGTTAGTAGATGGGGAGATGGAGGTATTAGGTAGATGGCTAGAATATTTTGAGGAACTTTTAAATGTTAAGGAAGAAACAGAGGCAGTAATTTCATGCACTGGTCAGGGAGGTATACCATCTTTTAGGAGTGAAGAAGAGCAGAATTTATGTGTGGTGGAGGTACATGAGGCATTACGTAGAATGAAAGGGGGTAAAGCATCTGGAACTGATGGGATCATGACAGAAATGTTAAAAGCAGGGGGGGATATAGTGTTGGAGTGGTTGGTACTTTTGTTTAATAAATGTATGAAAGAGGGGAAAGTACCTAGGGATTGGCAGAGAGCATGTATAGTCCCTTTATATAAAGGGAAAGAGGACAAAAGAGACTTTAAAAAATTATAGAGGAATAAGTTTACTGAGTATACCAGGAAAAGTGTACGGTAGGGTTATAATTGAAAGAATTAGAGGTAAGACAGAATGTAGGATTGCAGATGAGCAAGGAGGTTTCAGAGTGGGTAGGGGATGTGTAGATCAAGTGTTTACATTGAAGCATTTATGTGAACAGTATTTAGATAAAGGTAGGGAAGTTTTTATTGCATTTATGGATTTAGAAAAGGCATATGATAGAGTGGATAGAGGAGCAATGTGGCAGATGTTGCAAGTATATGGAATAGGTGGTAAGTTATTAAATGCTGTAAAGAGTTTTTATGAGGATAGTGAGGCTCAGGTTAGGGTGTGTAGAAGAGAGGGAGAATACTTCCCGGTAAAAGTAGGTCTTAGACAGGGATGTGGAATGTCACCATGGTTGTTTAATATATTTATAGATGGGGTTGTAAAGGAAGTAAATGCTAGAATGTTCGGGAGAGGGGTGGGATTAAATTTTGGGGAATCAAATTCAAAATGGGAATTGACACAGTTACTTTTTGCTGATGATACTGTGCTTATGGGAGATTCTAAAGAAAAATTGCAAAAGTTAGTGGATGAGTTTGGGAATGTGTGTAAAGGTAGAAAGTTGAAAGTGAACATAGAAAAAAGTAAGGTGATGAGGGTATCAAATGATTTAGATAAAGAAAAATTGGATATCAAATTGGGGAGGAGGAGTATGGAAGAAGTGAATGTTTTCAGATACTTGGGAGTTGACGTGTCGGTGGATGGATTTATGAAGGATGAGGTTAATCATAGAATTGATGAGGAAAAAAAGGTGAGTGGTGCGTTGAGGTATATGTGGAGTCAAAAAATGTTATCTATGGAGGCAAAGAAGGGAATGTATGAAAGTATAGTAGTACCAACACTCTTATATGGGTGTGAAGCTTGGGTGGTAAATGCAGCAGCGAGGAGACGGTTGGAGGCAGTGGAGATGTCCTGTTTAAGGGCAATGTGGTGTAAATATTATGCAGAAAATTCGGAGTGTGGAAATTAGGAAAAGGTGTGGCGTTAATAAAAGTATTAGTCAGAGGGCAGAAGAGGGGTTGTTGAGGTGGTTTGGTCATTTAGAGAGAATGGATCAAAGTAGAATGACATGGAAAGCATATAAATCTATAGGGGAAGGAAGGCGGGGTAGGGGTCATCCTCGAAAGGGTTGGAGAGAGGGGGTAAAGGAGGTTTTGTGGGCAAGGGGCTTGGACTTCCAGCAAGCGTGCGTGAGCGTGTTAGATAGGAGTGAATGGAGATGAATGGTACTTGGGACCTGACGATCTGTTGGAGTGTGAGCAGGGTAATATTTAGTGAAGGGATTCAGGGAAACCGGTTATTTTCATATAGTCGGACTTGAGTCCTGGAAGTGGGAAGTACAATGCCTGCACTTTAAAGGAGGGGTTTGGGATATTGGCAGTTTGGAGGGATATGTTGTGTATCTTTATATGTGTATGCTTCTAAACTGTGTATTCTGAGCACCTCTGCAAAAACAGTGATAATGTGCGAGTGTGGTGAAAGTGTTGAATGATGATGAAAGTATTTTCTTTTTGGGGATTTCCTTTCTTTTTTGGGTCACCCTGCCTCGGTGGGAGACGGCTGACTTGTTGAAAAAAAAAAAAAAAAAAATCAGGGAAACCAGTTATTTTTTAATAGCCGGACTTGAGTACTGGAAATGGGAAGTACAATGCCTGCACTTTAAAGGAGGGGTTTGGGATATTGGCAATTTGGAGGGGTAGGTTATATATCTTTATATATGCTTCTAAAGTAGGTAGTAGGTTGGTAGACAGCAACTGCCCAGGGAGGTACTCCTGTCCTGCCAAGTGAGTGTAAAACAGAAGCCTGTAATTGTTTTACACAATGGTAGGATTACTGGTGTCTTTTTTTTTTTTTCTGTCTCATGAACATGCAAGGTTTCAGGTACATCTTGCTACTTCTACTTACACCTAGGTCACACTACACATACATGTACAAGCATATAGTATATACACATCCCTCTGAGTTTTCTTCTATTTTCTTACTAGTTCTTGTTCTTGTTTATTTCCTCTTACCTCCATGGGGAAGTGGAACAGAATTCTTCCTCCGTAAGCCATGCGTGTTGTAAGAGGAGACTAAAATGCCAGGAACAAGGGGCTAGTAACCCCTTCTCCTTTATATATTACTAAATGTAAAAGGAGAAACTTTCGTTTTTCCTTTTGGGCCACCCCGCCTCGGTGGGATACGGCCGATGTGTTGAAAGAAAGAATATGCCTCTAAGCTGTTGTATCTGGGCACCTCTGCAAAGACAGTGATTATGTGTGAGTGAGGTGAAAGTGTTGAATGATGATGAAAGTATTTTCTTTTTGGGGATTTTCTTTCTTTAACCCTTAAACGATCCAAACAGATCGGCGTTAAAATTCGTAGTGCTACAAAAGTAGATCTACTTTTTTTACATATTTTCAAATATAACAAAAAAAAATGTAGATAAAAGTTTTTTTTACACGTTTTCAAATGTAAAACAAAAAAGAAGATCTACATTTTTTTACATACTTTCAGATGTTGAAAAAACGTATATATACGTTTGGACCATTTAAGAGTTAATGGTCACCCTGCCTTGGTGGGAGACGGCCAACTTGTTGAAAAAAAAAACTAATGTTTTCATTTTTTTTTTTTTTTAGGTTTGGACATTGGCGATGTAGATTTGATAGTATGCTTTGATTCACCAAAATCTCCTATACGTTTGGTGCAGAGAATGGGTCGTACTGGACGGAAGCGTGAGGGACGCATTGTGGTGCTGGTCACAGAGGGCAAAGAAGCTCAGGTAAAGACATCATTACCACCCTCTACTACCATCACTACCACCCTCTACCACCATCACTACCACCCTCTACCACCATCACTACCACCCTCTGCCACCATCACTACCACCCTCTACCTTTGTAGAGGGTGGTAGTGATATTTCTCCACAAAACTTTGCAACTCATTACACATTCGTACTTTGCTATGAGTTCTTTCTTGAATTCTATTGTGTTTCTCACCTTCTTTATCAAAAGGCTGGCACTCGGAACTTTCTTTGGCCCCATGGTGGCTTATTTAGCAGTTGCACTCAATAAACAAGCACAAAAAACAATGGATTATTACGAAATGTTTCCGATGAATGCACAAGGTAATGCTCACTCGACGAGAAACAAAGCTAGACTGACTCAGAACGTTTAGGATGCTTTGTGTGGGCACGGGCAGGCGGACACATTCGGTATGGCGGACCACTGTCAACTCAATGAAAACAGAGGTGATTAACGAAAACTGGGACAAAATATTAATGAAAAAAAATTGTCTAAAACCAAATTCGATGAAAACCAGGGCAAACAAAAACCGAGGTTCCACTGTTCCATCAGTACAATACTCATACAGCCGATTATTGGAATTAGATTACTGTATACATGAGCAGGACTGTATGGTATCCTGCCAGAATGCACAAGGATATAAAGTCACTTATGTGGAAGGTTGCCATAGTCATTTAAATTACAGTATATTTATTGCATTTAGCTAACTTTTCACTTCTTCTTCTATATTTCAAGTCAGATTTATAAGAGAAATTATTCTGAACATTGTTGCTCAGTTTATCAATACTGGCAACACCAGAATCAGAGCAAACACATAAAGGAATTTATACTGTGCCCATATGGCACCACTGTCTACATACAACCTGGAAACATGTAAACAGAGTTTATCCGAACATTTACATTTAACCTTCCATTTTTAATTTCATTTCTTATTCAGTACACAACACTTACACCAAACATTGAGTTTAGATGAGACACTTCACTCAGTGCCAAAGCATTCAGTTTCCTTAATTCATAATATCTGGAATTGTTCTAGTTTTTACAGCCCTTTCTTTCTTATTTCTTTGTGTGTTTGATTAATATGCCAGAGAATGGGGTAACAAGCTCCTTGTTCTTGGCATTATAGCTTCATATTACTCTACCTCTATATATTAGTTTAATTTTGAGTGGTTAATATTTCAGGCATATGATCAGAGTCAATATCAAAAAAGAAGTGTTAATGCTGCCCTTGCTGACATGAATAGGTTAAATCGGTTCCTCAGTCAACATAGCTCTCGCATGGTGCCTAGAGGTGAGTTTGCAGATTTGTGAAATTATTTAGATTTGTCTTAATTAATTTATTTGACATTGAATTTTTGTATTTATAAGGCTTTTGTATTAATCTCTGAATACTGCAATCCACATTTACAGTTCAGTTAAAAACTACAATGAAACTTTGTTATTCACTGTACATGTATTCACAAGTTTTAATCATTTATGGCATGGTCTTATGGATTGATCACTGGGGATATTTGCAGTTTTGAACTGTAGTATCATTGCCCGTCTGGCAAGACAGTGACGGAGTAAATGAGGATGAAAGTGTTCCTTCTTTTTTGGGGGTCATTCTACCTTGGTGGGAGACGGCACCGGTTTGTTGAAAAAAAATATGTAGATCCTTCATGGGGTCTGTCTGCAACAAGGAAGTCAGTGTCCCAAAACCAATATGCAAACATATGAAGGAAAATCAGTTCTGCTTCGTATAATGTGCTCATATTAATAGTGTTGAGATATATTTCATTTATTTTGTTATAAAATTTGGACAGTTTATCCCCAGGGAGAGGGGTACAGTATTACTGACTCAGTGCTGTCTCTGCTTTGCTTGTTGATGTATGGCATAGACAACAAGTGGTAAAAAGACATGTACAGCAAAAGACCTTTATTAGTACAATGTTTCATCTACGTAAGGCTTTATCAAGCCTCACATAGATGAGACATTGTACTAACAAAGGTCTCTGTCTGCTCTGTGTGTCATTTTGTCACTACTAGTGCTTGGCTGTAGCTTTGAATGTGTAACCAGTTTATGAGTTTTGTAAGGCAGCAATAGTGTGAATGGTGGTGAATGTGTTTCTTTTTCAGGTCATCCTACCTCAGTTGGGAGATGGCCAGTATGTTAAAAAAAAAAATTACATTTTTTTCCATTAAATTTTTTAACTTTTTAACATGAAACGGTTCAAAACTCCTAAAACTTTCCTTCCCACTTCTATTGTATGATTAATCTTGCCCATCACTTTATCATCTGAGGGTTCCGTTTTCTCTCAAGTACGTATTTAAATTTTTTACACTTGTACAGTGGACCCTCAGTTAACGATATTAATCTGTTCCAGAGAGCTTGCCCTTAACCGATTTTATTGTTATCCAAATTAATTTTCGCCATAAGAAATAATGGAAATCCAATTACAGTATTAATCTGTTCCAGTCACCCGAAAGTATTAAAAAAAAATAATTTGTTCACATGAAATATACATTTTCCTACACAGAAAACAGTGAGACATGCAGAATAAATACATTAATAATTCATAAAATGACACTTACCTTCATTGAAGACTTAACTGTTTCAGGGTCAGTGCCGTAGATCTACGGCTTTACATTGAGGGTCCAAACAGTAGATCTATGCCATGAGCTCAGCTCACTCTGATAAGCTGTGAGCAGTAAATTTGGGCTTAGATATGAGAGAATACATCTATGTGGTATGTGTGCACTACATAAAACAAATCCTGCAGTACACAGTGCATAATGAGAGAGAAAAAACTGAGACCATAATTTTCGATTAAAACAGCAACTTTGCAGTATTTTTTTATATGTTTTTTATAGTTATATTTGCGATTTCTTGGTCTCATTTGATAGAATGGAAGGTATATTACAGAAATAGAGATGATTTTGATTGGTTTTAGTATTGTAAATGGCTTGAAACTGAGCTCAAAGTAGAGAAAATGTTAAATTTTTGCCAATGTTCAAGAGTAAACAAATGACCTCACACGTCTAATACACGCCAGCTGGTGGGTCTAATATACATTCACAAATGTGCTGATATTATTTATACAATTATTACAATATTGCATGACAGTAAATCTTCTATTTTTTGGTTTGTATAAAAATTCATTATGTGAATTAAAAATCAAAATGGAATTCATTTGTAAAGCTTGAAAGCATAACTAATGAACAAAGGAAATGTTAGTTTAGTTCCAGGAATGTTATTCCGGACCCTATTTTGAAATTGGAATATTTTGAACTTTGCACTAAATTGGCCAAATTACCAATTTCAAATCACTTTATTTTGTAGTTGAAACAGCTGAGTTGGTGATTTCTTGTGCTCAATCAATAGAAGTAATACTAGTGAAATAGCTAAGAATTTGGTCGACTGGAATAAGGTAATTGGCCTAAAATGGGAGTCAAAGTCAGCAAAATCGCCGTTGTGTAGATATCGCTGACACATCAAAATTTGCGAGAGCATAATTTCATCAATTTCCCATCAAATTTCGTACTTTTTGCTTTATTACCTTCAGAAAAAGATTCTCTACCATTCCATAAGAAACAATAACAAAATTATTTTTTGAAAATTCTTGGACACTGGTGTGCACTTTGAAATTTGGCCTCTGGACCCTGAAAGGGTTAATGATGAGACGGGAGGAGGGAAGAAGATGGAGGTGTATTATTGTTTGGAAGGGGAATCCCCTTCCATAAGAACTTTAGGTAGCAAGTCCTTTTCTGGGGTTACCTCCCTTTGTTTTTTAATGCCACTAGGACCAGCTTGAGAGTCACTGGACCTTTGTCGCACCAAAAATCTGTCCAGAGAGCTCTGTTTCTGGCGTGTCTTTAAGATTTCCCTAAAATGGGACACAACATTGTTGTGTCTGTTTGCCCTCCACATCACACAAATTAGGCTTGATGACACTGTTTTTCTAGAACACTCTGGGAGTTTCAGAGTGATACACCAGTAAAGGCTTCACTTTGCAATCCCCACTAGCATTACCACAAAACATAAGAGTTAGCCTGTCTTTCATAGGCTTGTGTCCTGGGAGTGCCTTTTCCTCCTGAGTAATGTAGGTCCTGTTTGGCATTTTGTTCCAAACCAGGCCTATTTCATCACAATTGAACACTTGTTGGGGTTTTAATTTTTCAGCCTCTATGTACCCCTTAAAGTCCTGCACATATTTTTCAGCCGCTTTTTTGTCAGAACTGGCAGCCTCACCATGCCTTATCACACTGTATGCCACTACGATTCTTAAATCTCTCAAACCAGCATTTGCTGGCCTTAAATTCATCAGTATCAGAACTAGTTGGAGGCATTTTATTAATGAAATCTGCATGCAACTGCCTTTCCTTTTCACATATAATTGACTGTGAAACACTATCTCCTGATAATTGTTTCTCGTTGATCCACACCAACAACAGTCTCTCCACATCTTCGAGTATTTGCGAGCTCTGTTTTGTAAGCACATTTGCGCCTTTTGCAGCAACAGCTTTCTTCATTGCCTTTTTTTGGCCAGGATAGTAGGGATGGTTGATTGGAGTTTGTTATACAACCTGGCCAGCTTGGAGGCACGCTCTCCACTTTCGTACTTTGTGATTATCTCTTTCTTCAGTTCAGTAGTATTTCTCACCGTTTTTACCACAGGGTTAGCACTAGAAGCTTTCTTTGGGCCCATGGTTGCTTATTTAGCAGTTACAAGCACTAAAAACAATGGAATAATACAAAATGTGCCGCATGTAAGTGTGGAATCATCTGCACTGGCTTGTAAACAGTGGCACACTGGCTGTACATGGAGTGGCCAGGTGGCCCGGGCAGCTCAGGCTGCATGGACACATTCTGGATGAATGTCCTTAACTGAGTTTTTTATCATTAGCTGAGCCAGTATTTTGATGCAAAAACATATCAGTATCCGATTTTATCGCTATCTGCATTGTTAACTGAGGGTCCACTGTACATTGATTTTATTTATTTCCCTTCCATTCTAAATCCATGCCAACTTCCTTTTATTTTCTTTGCTCCCATTCATCATCACCTAATTTTTTCTTCATTCAATTTAAATGTTCTTCTTTTGCAAAATCTTCCAGACTTCTCTACCCTCTTCTTTTGTTTCTCTTCAGTATCTGCTTATGGGAGATTCTAAAGAAAAATTGCAAAGGTTAGTGGACGAATTTGGGAGTGTGTGTAAAGGTAGAAAGTTGAAAGTGAACATAGAAAAGAGTAAGGTGATGAGGGTATCAAATGATTTAGATAAAGAAAAATTGGATATCAAATTGAAGAGGAGGAGTATGGAAGAAGTGAATGTTTTCAGATATTTGGGAGTTGACATGTCAGTGGATGGATTTATTAAGGATGAGGTTAATCAGAATTCATGAAGGAAAAAAGGTGAGTGGTGCATTGAGGTGTATGTGGAGGCAAAAAATGTTATCTATGGAGGCAAAGAAGGGAATGTATGAAAGTATAGTAGTACCAACACTCTTATATGGGTGTGAAGCTTGGGTTGTAAATGCTGCAGTGAGGAGGTGGTTGGAGGCAGTGGAGATGTTCCGTCTAAGGGCAATGTGTGGTGTAAATAATATGCAGAAAATTCAGAGTGGGGAAATTAGGAGAAGGTGTGGTGTTAATAAAAGTATTAGTCAGAGGGCTGAAGAGGGTTTGGTCATTTAGAGAGAATGGATCAAAGTAGAATGACATGGAGAGTGTATAAATCTGTAGGGGAAGGAAGGCGGGGTAGGGGTCGTCCTCGAAAAGGTTGGAGGGAGGGGGTAAAGGAGGTGTTGTGGGTGAGGGGTGTGGATTTCCAGCAAGTGTGTGAGCATGTTAGATAGGTGTGAATGGAGACAAATGGTATTTGGGACCTGACGAGCTGTTGGAGTGTGAACAGGATAATATTAAGTGAAGGGATTCAGGGAAACCGGTTATTTTATATAACCGGACTTGAGTCCTGGAAATGGGAAGTACGATGCCTGCACTCTAAAGGAGGGGTTTGGGATATTGGCAGTTTGGAGGGATATATTGTGTATATAATTCTAAACTCCTAGGTAGTAGGTTGGTAGACAGCAACTGCCCAGGGAGGTACTACCATCCTGCCAGGTGAGTGTAAAACTGAAGCCTTTAATTGTTTTACACGATGGTAGGATTGCTGGTGTCTTTTTTTTTTTCTGTCTCATACACATGCAAGATTTCAGGTACGTCTTGCTACTTCTACTTACACTTAGGTCACACTACACATACATGTTTTTTTTTTTTTTCAACAAGTCAGCCGTCTCCCACCGAGGCAGGGCGACCCAAAAAAGAAAGAAAATCCCCAGAAAAGAAAATACTTTCATCATCATTCAACACTTTCACCACACTCACACATTATCACTGCTTTTGCAGAGGTGCTCAGAATACAACAGTTTAGAAGCATATACGTATAAAGATACACAACATATCCCTCCAAACTGCCAATATCCCAAACCCCTCCTTTAAAGTGCAGGCATTGTACTTCCCATTTCCAGGTCTCAAGTCCGACTATATGAAAATAACCGGTTTCCCTGAATCCCTTCACTAAATATTACCCTGCTCACACTCCAACAGATCGTCAGGTCCCAAGTATCATTCGTCTCCATTCACTCCTATCTAACACGCTCATGCACGCTTGCTGGAAGTCCAAGCCCCTCGCCCACAAAACCTCCTTTACCCCCTCTTTCCAACCCTTTCGAGGACGACCCCTACCCCTTTTTCCTTCCTCTATAGATTTATATTCTTTCCATGTCATTCTACTTTGATCCATTCTCTCTAAATGACCAAACCACCTCAACAACCCCTCTTCTGCCCTCTGACTAATACTTTTATTAACTCCACACCTTCTCCTAATTTCCACACTCCGAATTTTCTGCATAATATTTACACCACACATTGCCCTTAGACAGGACATCTCCACTGCCTCCAACCATCTCCTCGCTGCTGCATTTACCACCCAAGCTTCACATCCATATAAGAGTGTTGGTACTACTATACTTTCATACATTCCCTTCTTTGCCTCCATAGATAACGTTTTTTGACTCCACATATACCTCAACGCACCACTCACCTTTTTCCCTCATCAATTCTATGATTAACCTCATCCTTCATAAATCCATCCGCCGACACGTCAACTCCCAAGTATCTGAAAACATTCACTTCTTCCATACTCCTCCCCAATTTGATATCCAATTTTTCTTTATCTAAATCATTTGATACCCTCATCACCGTACTCTTTTCTATGTTCACTTTCAACTTTCTACCTTTACACACATTCCCAAACTCATCCACTAACCTTTGCAATTTTTCTTTAGAATCTCCCATAAGCACAGTATCATCAGCAAAAAGTAACTGTGTCAATTCCCATTTTGAATTTGATTCCCCATAATTTAATCCCACCCCTCTCCCGAACACCCTAGCATTTACTTCTTTTACAACCCCATCTATAAATATATTAAACAACCATGGTGACATTACACATCCCTGTCTAAGACCTACTTTTACCAGGAAGTAATCTCCCTCTCTTCTACACACCCTAACCTGGGCCTCACTATCCTCATAAAAGCTCTTTACAGCATTTAGTAACTTACCACCTATTCCATTTACTTGCAACATCTGCCACATCTAATATCTAATATCTAAATACTGTTCACATATATGCTTAAATGTAAACACTTGATCTACACATCCCCTATCCACTCTGAAGCCTCCCTGCTCATCCGCAATCCTACATTCTGTCTTACCTCTAATTCTTTCAATTATAACCCTACCGTATACTTTTCCTGGTATACTCAGTAAACTTATTCCTCTATAATTTTTACAATCTCTTTTGTCCCCTTTCCCTTTATATAAAGGGACTATACATGCTCTCTGCCAATCCCTAGGTACCTTCCCCTCTTTCATACATTTATTAAACAAAAGTACCAACCACTCCAACACTATATCCCCCCCTGCTTTTAACATTTCTGTCATGATCCCATCAGTTCCAGCTGCTTTACCCCCTTTCATTCTGCATAATGCCTCACGTACCTCCACCACACTTACATTCTGCTCTTCTTCACTCCTAAAAGATGGTATACCTCCCTGGCCAGTGCATGAAATTACCGCCTCCCTTTCTTCCTCAACATTTAAAAGTTCCTCAAAATATTTTCTTATTTTACATTAAAATTTCTTGACAGTGCCTCTCCCACTCTATCATCTGCTCTCCTTTTGCACTCTCTCACCACTCTCTTCACCTTTCTTTTACTCTCCATATACACTTCTGCTTTGTAAAAACCTCTCATAAGCTACATGTACAAGCATATATATACACACCTCTTCGGGTTTTCTTCTATTTTCTTTCTAGTTCTTGTTCTTGTTTATTTTCTCTTACCTCCATGGGGAAGTGGAACAGAATTCTTCCTCCGTAAGCCATGCGTGTTGTAAGAGGCAACTAAAATGCCGGGAGCAAGGGGCTAGTAACCCCTTCTCCTGTATATATTACTAAATGTAAAAGGAGAAACTTTTGTTTTTCCTTTTGGGCCACCCCGCCTCGGTGGGATACAGCCAGTGTGTTGAAAGAAGAAAGAAAGAATTCTAAACTGTTGTATTCTGGGCACCTCTGCAAAAACAGTGATTATGTGTGAGTGAGGTGAAAGTGTTGAATGATGAAAGTATTTTTCTTTTTGGGGATTTTCTTTCTTTTTGGGTCACCCTGCCTCGGTGGGAGACGGCTGACTTGTTGAAAAAAAAAAAATTATGATATTTTGCTTATTTTGCAGGTATAACACCAGTCTGCTTGAAGCTGCACATGAAAGTAGGAACTTGGAAGGCACAGAAAGGTCGAGGTAGTAAGTCATCAGCAGGCTCCACCGCCTCTGTATCTTCCATGTTCAATAACTCTGGCAAATCCCTCATAAATAAGAAAGTAAGTTAAAATTTGTACACTGATGTTGTAAAATAGTATATCCATATTCTGTGCTTGTAAAATTAACCACTGTGCATAGGAGAGGAACAGATAAAGCTGAAATAATAATGATAATAATAATAATAATAATAACAATAATAATAATAATCCTCCATGGGGAAGTGGAACAGAATTCTTCCTCCGTAAGCCATGCGTGTTGTAAGAGGCGACTAAAATGCCGGGAGCAAGGGGCTAGTAACCCCTTCTCCTGTATATATTACTAAATTTAAAAAGAGAAACTTTAGTTTTTTCTTTTGGGCCACCCCGCCTCGGTGGGATACGGCTGGTATGTTGAAAGAAAGAATAATAATAATAATAATAATAATAATAATAATAATAATAATAATAATAATTCTATTATTATTTTCTTTTTTTTTCACTTTAATGGCCATCTCCTGTCCAGACAGGAGAAACTGCATTCACCAAAAAGATTTTTTATGATACTACAATATTGTAAACCTACAGTAATGCTGAAAAAAAGCATGATATTTTTGCTTTTACATAGTTCTCTATATATATCATATTGATCAAAACTTTTCAATAATAAACATTAAGGTAAGGCTATATTAACAAGTTTGTATTAACAATAAGACAGCCTAATTTACAAAGATAACTAATCCTAAGTGAATCTGTTAGATTAAAGAAGGGCCCTGCTTATACAATAGGTTAGGGTCCAGGCTACTTCTGTAAAGAGAAGCATAGCCTTTCTTCGCATTCAGATGCATATAAAAGCCTGATAACTTGTTTACACTATCATATATTAAGTGAGCAATATAGCTAGGCATAAAAAATGCATATACCATATAACTGAAAACCGCTGCATTAGTGAAACGCTGCAGAGTGGGGCCACCTCCTGTACTTGTCACTCATTTTTGCCAGAAATTTAAATTTACTCTGTTAAAAACACATGAATAGTCTGCAGTGTGTTAAATAAACCTGATTACACACACCATTGAATATAATGTGCATGAAATATATTATTTGTTTTTGCAGAAGGCTTGTAAAAATGATGGTTGGCTATCAAAGGAAGAATTGGCTTGGTGGCGGGACAACCTTCAAGTTCCACTGGATGAAGTTAAATCCTTGCCAAGACCATCATTATTCTGTCTTGGGAAACAAGGTAAGTTCTGATAAATTAGACACATGTGCAACTCTTGGGTATCTTTATTAAGGAAACGTTTTGCCACACAGTGGCTTCATCAGTCCATACACAGGAGAAATTTGAAGAACAGGAGGAGAATGAGGTGATCAGTCCCTCAACCTTGAGTCGATGTGGTCAGTCCATCAATCATTCTATTCAAGATTGATGGACTGACCACATCGACTCAAGGTTGAGGGACTGATTACCTCATTCTCCTCCTGTTCTTCAAATTTCTCCTGTGTATGGACTGATGAAGCCACTGTGTGGCAAAACTTTTCCTTAATAAAGATACCCAAGAGTTGCACATTATTTTTTTTATTATTATTATCACACCGGCCGATTCCCACCAAGGCAGGGTGGCCCGAAAAAGAAAAACTTTCACCATCATTCACTCCATCACTGTCTTGCCAGAAGGGTGCTTTACACTACAGTTTTTAAACTGCAACATTAACACCCCTCCTTCAGAGTGCAGGCACTGTACTTCCCATCTCCAGGACTCAAGTCCGGCCTGCCGGTTTCCCTGAATCCCTTCATAAATGTTACTTTGCTCACACTCCAACAGCACGTCAAGTATTAAAAACCATTTGTCTCCATTCACTCCTATCAAACACGCTCACGCATGCCTGCTGGAAGCCCAAGCCCCTCGCACACAAAACCTCCTTTACCCCCTCCCTCCACCCTTCCTAGGCCGACCCCTACCCCGCCTTCCTTCCACTACAGACTGATACACTCTTGAAGTCATTCTGTTTCGCTCCATTCTCTCTACATGTCCGAACCACCTCAACAACCCTTCCTCAGCCCTCTGGACAACAGTTTTGGTAATCCCACCTCCTCCTAACTTCCAAACTACGAATTCTCTGCATTATATTCACACCACACATTGCCCTCAGACATGACATCCCCACTGCCTCCAGCCTTCCCCTCGCTGCAACATTCATCACCCACGCTTCACACCCATATAAGAGCGTGGTTTAAAACTATACTCTCATACATTCCCCTCTTTGCCTCCAAGGACAAAGTTCTTTGTCTCCACAGACTCCTAAGTGCACCACTCACTCTTTTTCCCTCATCAATTCTATGATTCACCTCATCTTTCATAGACCCATCCGCTGACACGTCCACTCCCAAATATCTGAATACGTTCACCTCCTCCATACTCTCTCCCTCCAATCTGATATTCAATCTTTCATCACCTAATCTTTTTTTTTATCCTCATAACCTTACTCTTTCCTGTATTCACCTTTAATTTTCTTCTTTTGCAAACCCTACCAAATTCATCCACCAATCTCTGCAACTTCTCTTCAGAATCTCCAAGAGCACAGTGTCATCAGCAAAGAGCAGCTGTGACAACTCCCACTTTGTGTGTGATTCTTTATCTTTTAACTCCACGCCTCTTGCCAAGACCCTCGCATTTACTTCTCTTACAACCCCATCTATAAATATATTAAACAACCACGGTGACATCACACATCCTTGTCTAAGGCCTACTTTTACTGGGAAAAAAATTTCCCTCTTTCCTACATACTCTAACTTGAGCCTCACTATCCTCGTAAAAAACTCTTCACTGCTTTCAGTAACCTACCTCCTACACCATACACTTGCAACATCTGCCACATTGCCCCCCTATCCACCCTGTCATACGCCTTTTCCAAATCCAAAAATGCCACAAAGACCTCTTTAGCCTTATCTAAATACTGTTCACTTATATGTTTCACTGTAAACACCTGGTCCACACACCCCCTACCTTTCCTAAAGCCTCCTTGTTCATCTGCTATCCTATTCTCCGTCTTACTCTTAATTCTTTCAATTATAACTCTACCATACACTTTACCAGGTACACTCAACAGACTTATCCCCCTATAATTTTTGCACTCTCTTTTATCCCCTTTGCCTTTATACAAAGGAACTATGCATGCTCTCTGCCAATCCCTAGGTACCTTACCCCTTCCATACATTTATTAAATAATTGCACCAACCACTCCAAAACTATATCCCCACCTGCTTTTAACATTTCTATCTTTATCCCATCAATCCCGGCTGCCTTACCCCTTTCATTTTACCTACTGCCTCACGAACTTCCCCCACACTCACAACTGGCTCTTCCTCACTCCTACAAGATGTTATTCCTCCTTGCCCTATACACGAAATCACAGCTTCCTATCTTCATCAACATTTAACAATTCCTCAAAATATTCCTTCCATCTTCCCAATACCTCTAACTCTCCATTTAATAACTCTCCTCTCCTATTTTAACTGACAAATCCATTTGTTCTCTAGGCTTTCTTAACTTGTTAATCTCACTCCAAAACTTTTTTTTTATTTTCAACAAAATTTGTTGTAAACATCTCACCCACTCTCTCATTTGCTCTCTTTTTACATTGCTTCACCACTCTCTTAACTTCTCTCTTTTTCTCCATATACTCTTCCCTCCTTGCATCACTTCTACTTTGTAAAAACTTCTCATATGCTAACTTTTTCTCCCTTATACTCTCTTTACATCATCATTCCACCAATCGCTCCTCTTCCCTCCTGCACCCACTTTCCTGTAACCACAACTTCTGCTGAACACTCTAACACTACATTTTTAAACCTACCCCATACCTCTTCGACCCCATTGCCTATGCTCTCATTAGCCCATCTATCCTCCAATAGCTGTTTATATCTTACCCTAACTGCCTCCTCTTTTAGTTTATAAACCTTCACCTCTCTCTTTCCCTGATGCTTCTATTCTCCTTGTATCCCATCTACCTTTTACTCTCAGTGTAGCTACAACTAGAAAGTGATCTGATATATCTGTGGCCCCTATAAACATGTACATCTGAAGTCTACTCAACAGTCTTTTATCTACCAATACATAATCCAACAAACTACTGTCATTTCGCCCTACATCATATCGTGTATACTTATTTATCCTCTTTTTCTTAAAATATGTATTACCTATAACTAAACCCCCTTTTTATACAAAGTTTCAATCAAAGGGCTCCCATTATCATTTACACCTGGCACCCCAAAACTTACCTACCACACCCTCTCTAAAAGTTTCTCCTACTTTAGCATTCAAGTCCCCTACCACAATTACTCTCTCACTTGGTTCAAAGGCTCCTATACATTCACTTAACATCTCCAAAATCTCTCTCTCTCCTCTGCATTCCTCTCTTCTCCAGGTGCATACACGCTTATTATGACCCACTTCTCGCATCCAACCTTTACTTTAATCCACATAATTCTTGAATTTACACATTCATATTCTCTTTTCTCCTTCCATAACTGATCATTTAACATTACTGCTACCCCTTCCTTTGCTCTAACTCTCTCAGATACTCCAGATTTAATCCCATTTATTTCCCCCCCCTGAAACTCTCCTACCCCCTTCAGCTTTGTTTCGCTTAGGGCCAGGACATCCAACTTCTTTTCATTCATAACATCAGCAATCATCTGTTTCTTGTCATCCGCACTACATCCACGCACATTTAAGCAACCCAGTTTTATAAAGTTTTTTCTTCTTTTTTTTTAGTAATTGTATACAGGAGAAGGGGTTACTAGCCCATTGCTCCCGGCATTTTAGTCGCCTCATACGACACGCATGGCTTACGGAGGAAAGATTCTTTTCCACTTCCCCATGGACAATAGAAGAAATAAAAAAGAACAAGAGCTATTTAGAAAAAGGAGAGAAAAACCTAGATGTATGTATATATATATATGCATGTGTGTGTCTGTGAAGTGTGACCAAAGTGTAAGTAGGAGTAGCAAGATATCCCTGTTATCTTAGCGTGTTTATGAGACAGAAAAAGAAACCAGCAATCCTACCATCATGCAAAACAGTTACAGGTTTTAGTTTCACAGTCATCTGGCAGGACGGTAGTACTTCCCTGGGTGGTTGCTGTCTACCAACCTACTACCTACGAGTTGCACATGTGTCTAATTTATCAACATGTCGGTTCTGTGTACCATTCATCAACAAGGTAAGTTCTCTTTAATTTAAGCCTTTGAAGAACGTAATGAAAATATGTAAATGTAATCTGTTGAATACATAAACAGTATCATTAGCAGAGAGGATTTCTGAAATATCTTTGAAGAGAGTTATAAGTTTCTTGTTTGGGTTGATTGTTCTTTAAACTTGAAAAAAGGTTTTCCAAGTATGTACTGTATATTTTATGTTGCCTTCATTCAGTGTTACAATAGTATTTGTGTTTGAATCTTCTAATCAGGCTAGTAAGTGTTGCAGAGTATCTGTTGGATATCTCTTTAGGAATTAGTCCTAGCCTGTGCTTTTCTTTTTGTGCAATTGTGTGTTTTATCAATAGAACTGAGTAATGTATGGATTGTCATGACATGATAGGTATCCACCTACTGTGCAATACTTTGCTTGTGTCATGTTCATAGATATAATGTGTTGCTGGGGTAAATAACAATGATGTAGGAAATAAATAAGGAAGTGGTAAATGATTGTAAAACCAAGAGTATTGAATATACAGAAATATACCAGAGAGAAAATTGGCATTTTCAAAATGATGTGAAGACTGTGAGAACATACTGAGATGTAGTGGGTGTGTAGACTTCATGGGAGACCATTTTTTCCAAGGTTAGTGTTTTGTTTTCATCTACATAGGTAAAATTTAATTCACTCCACCAAATCAGGTCCTTCCACTTTCTTTTTCACATTAAAGGTCAGCTTATTTTAATTAACTGCCAACTTATGTTTGATAATCAATGCATAAAACATTTTTAACAGTATTATATTTTTTTTTTTACAGAAATGGAAGAGGACTTCAATAGTGAAGGCTATATAAACTTAGGGAAATATCAGTCATGGCAGACTATAGCACAGGGTACACACGTTATTGGCCACTCATCCCGTTCATTCAATTTGGTTCAATTAACCGAGTTTATTGGCCTCCAGCAACATTTTGATGCAGACGAAGATCCTTATGGTTTGGAAATGGCATCCTTCTTAGACAAGGCTTATATTGAAGGTTGGTCCTTGCAATATATTGCAATTTTAATGTACCTTTCAATAAAGGAAGAGTGACATGCTTCAGATATAAGAACACATACCAAGTAGTATTTATGACCTGATGTGATGTTGGAGTGTAAGTTGGGTAACATGTATGAAGGGATTCAGGGAAAAGTAGTTAGGCCAGACTTGACTCCTAGAGGTGAAATGCACAGTGCCTGGACCCTCAAGGAGTAGTGAGGATATTGTTGCTCAGAGAATCATCTGAACTGTGATGTCAGCAAGTTTCTGGCAATACAGTGATTTAATGATGGTGAATGTGCTACCTCTTTTATGGGTTACTACCTCAGTGGGAGACAGTCTGTGTTGATAAAGAAAAAAATATTTTCAGGGCTACTCATCCACAAGTTGACTTACAGTACATTTTACAGAAATGGAAGAGGACTTCAATAGTGAAGGCTATATAAACTTAGGGAAATATCAGTCATGGCAGACTATAGCACAGGGTACACACGTTATTGGCCACTCATCCCGTTCATTCAATTTGGTTCAATTAACCGAGTTTATTACTTACACTCAAACCTTGTACACCTTATATTTTTTTTTTTTTTTTTTTTTTTTTTTCAACAAGTCGGTCGTCTCCCACCGAGGCAGGGTGACCCAAAAAAGAAAGAAAATCCCCAAAAAGAAAATACTTTCATCATCATTCAACACTTTCACCACACTCACACATTATCACTGCTTTTGCAGAGGTGCTCAGAATACAACAGCTTAGAAGCATATACGTATAAAGATACACAACATATCCCTCCAAACTGCCAATATCCCAAACCTTATATTACTTCATGGTATTGTTTTTTATTCAGAGCATATTCACTTTTCCAGTTAATGCTTTATGTATATGCATTGTATATTGTATTTTCATGTAGAATACACAAAGAAATTTCTTTTTACAAAATTTTTATTAATTGCCAGTGAATTTGCATATACGTACTGTATAAAGTACTGTATATGCAACAGACCAAAGGTTTTTGAAGACATTATTCTTAGAATCTTTATCTTAAAGTGTCAGAAAAACCATTGATTGTTTATGGATAAAGTGTAAGTTGTTGTTAATACAGTATTAAATTGCATTTTACTTATAAGTTTTTATTACCCATCAGGTAACACTGCACACAGATCATCCTTATTCTCTTCAATAAAAAGTGATGCATCTAGAGATAATCAACATACAGTGATTTTACAAGGTAATTGTGAAATTAAAAAGGGAAAAGGAAGTAAGAAAAGTGTACCAAAAGGAAAGAAAGCCAAGAAAACTACTCAGAGCTCTCTCATCACCACCATGTTTACTCAGAGACCTCGAGCTCATGTAGAGGAGCAAACACAGAACTTCCAAGATTTAGATGATTTTCAAAATAAGGAAACAAATAATGAGAAATTTAAAGTAATAAAGGAAGTCGAAGAGATTGAGAAGAAAGATCCAGTACTAGACGTAAATCCAAGTACAAGTACTTCGAAGGAAAATACGGATGTTTGTGAGCGTGTTCTGGATTTCCTAACGTTACTTCCACCGAGGCAACAGTCTCCTCTCCACATAGCTCTGCCACCAAGTGAGAGTGACTTTTCTAGTGATAATCAAGAAATAGAACTTCCCAGTCCAACAGATATCATAACAGTTTGCAATGAATGGATAGAAAAAAAAAGGGATACTATGAAGAATCTTTATCAGTTTGAAAAAATTGTCTTAAGTGCTTCAGATATTCGAAAATCAAAGCCACTGGCTTTGACTGATGCCGATGATTCTTTAGAAGACCTGCCTGATCTTATAGGAGATCAAGAGAATACTGACAAAATGCCTTCTGTAACAGAGGTTTCATTACAGGCTATATCCCCAGTTTTAAGAAGTAAAAGAACTCCAACAGCTTGTCAAACTGGGATAAATCAATTTTCTACTGAAAAAATTGAGAAAGAACCTGTAACCTCTCCAAACATTTTTGATGATACTACAACACCATCAGATAAAAATGTTTCACCAGTACTGAGTTCGACTTATAAAAAGCCAGTTAGAACAAATTTGACTCTGTGGTCCTCAACTCCAAAAGTCACTGCTAAGCGTCTTTTCAAATTAGCAACTCCTGACTTGACCGTTATTGAATCACATTCTCCAGTTTATAAAAACATTGAAAAATCTTGTACTCCTGTAAAATCTGTTGTTGCTGCTGATATAAGAAGAGAAAAATTAACCCAAGGAAATCTTAAAAATAATGAACCTGAAGCAAGTGGTTCACATTCCATGATTGATTATAGAAGCAAAATACACACAAAATTAAGCAGATTTGCTCTACCTGAAAGCTTGAAATCAAAGAATAATATTGAAATTTTAGTTCAAGATTGTAGTCTCTCATCAGAAATTAATAAAGCTGATGCAATAAATAATAGCATAGAGATAAATAAAGCTGATGCAGTAAATAATAGCACAGAGATAAGTAAAGCTGATGCAGTAAATAATAGCATAGAGAATAGTGTTAATTTTAATCTGAGCCTGGATGATCTTTTTGCTGATAGAGAAGAGGACCAACTTGGTAAAATAGAAAGTGTTACTCCAAATAAACCATCAGCAACAGAGAGCAGTAAAAATTTAACTAGAAGAGATATAAAGCCATGTGAAAGGATGACCTCCACCCTTCTAAGTGTCACAGAGATCCTTGATCTGGTGAATGAGTCAGATGGTAAAACTGTTGACGATACAGGAGTCATGTCATCACACCATTCTCTGGAAAATACTAATGAGTTGATGGGAAATACATCTAAATCATTGTTTTCAAAAGCTGATAACTGTAAACAAAGTGACAACAAGACAATGTTCTCAAAAACAGCAAAGCAAATGAATTGCCTAGTAGGTCCAAACTTCTCTTTACTTGATGACTTGGTTTCTGATATAGAAGATGGGGCTGAGGTAGTCAAGACGAATGAATCCATAAGTGAACAGAGTGTTCAATTTCATTTACTTGGTACTGAGGAATTTGATTTAATGACAACATCAGTCCTTTCGGATGAAGGAAACAAAGCACCTAGGAAAGAATGTACGATCATTGATGGCCTAAGTTGGGTAAATACTGATAAGCAAAATCTAGATAAAATGTTAAATGACAAAAAGAACCCCAACATAGAAATTCAAGCAGATTATGAAACAAAATTCAATGTACCACATAACAAGTCCCCTGTGAGATTAAGTGTTACTGATACTGTTTTCTCACCTTCACAAGAGTCCCCACAAAATTGGCAGAGAAAAAGAAAGCGGCTCGATGTAATAGAATCTGACAGCGAAGATCAAGTCGCAGGTAGTAGCAGCTCTAGCAGTAATATACAGATGCTCACCAAGTCTACCACCTCCTCTAGTGATAGGAGTAGCACCTTTGGGGATACTGGCTGGATCAGCAGAAATAAGAAAAGGAGATTAGGGATAGCAGTCAATTTGGAAGATGACAGCGATTTTAAAGAAGCTTCAACAGCAGCTTATGAACAGACAAAACAGAAATTAGAGAATGTTAATAAGGAGCAACATAAAAACATGAAGGTAAATAACGTGTTGTACTTAATCATACAATCGTAACAAATGAGTGATACTACCATAAACTTTAGATATATGTTTAATTATGATCTCATTTATTTAGTCACACATGAGGAAAAGTTCATGAATCTCAGTAAGTATTAGTTAATATTTTTTTGGGTAATAGAGATAAAATGACTTTATGTATGAAAGAAGAAATGATAAATCAGAATGTTTAGTTCCCTTATTTAAAGCTTTAAAAAATGAGGATTTATTTTATGTCAATAAAATGTACAATAAAATAAAATAAACTAGAGAATGGGTGGTAGTGAATGTGATTCCATCTTTGAGTCATCTGTCCATTGTGGGAAATGGCCATTGTGTTAAAAATGAAAACTATCTACAGTAGTTGAATATATTTAGTACTTAGATTAGGGTTATACAACATGACCATTGTGGAAGTAGAACAAAATTCTTCCTTCATAAGTCACAAGTCACGTGTGTCGTAAGAGGCAATTAAAATGCCGGGAGCAAGGGGCTAGTAACCCCTTTTGTATAAATTACTAAATTTAAAATGAGAAACTTTTGTTTTTCTTTTTGGTCACCCTGCTTTGGTGGGATACAGCCAGTTTGTTGAAAAAAAATCTTTGTCTTATGAAATATAGCTGCTATTTCTATTTTAACCAAACATTGCCTGTATTTAGCAGAATGTATACTTACCATACACAGAATATAAATATACTTCCTTATACACAGTAACTGTTATTTCTTTCAAAATTCCTTCCAGAAAATTAATGTGTTCATTGAAGATGAAGCTCAGCTTTCAGCAGATGGTTATGATGTCTCTAGTGATGAGAGGGAAGACGACGAAGATGATTACGACAAGAGTTTTGTAGATGATTGTATACAACAATCACAAGATGCTGCAGTAGAGTGAGTCTTTTAGGTTTTAACTCAAATGCCATTGTGAAAAGTATATTAAATATACCTTCCTTCATTGAATGTTAATTGTAGGAAAAGTTGGTAGAGATTTTGCAGTTAATTGGATCATCTAAATTGCTTGCTTTAGATGCCTGTACTGTAAGAGGACATATAATTTGAATACGCAAAAGAATTTCTGCCTATTTTCTAATCAATACACTATGATCATTTGTAATGTTCATTAGGTATTCTAAAATAATTTTTATCTAATGATTAACCCTTTCACTGTCCAGACCTCAGAAATTAATATTGCTCTTAGTGTCCACTTTAAAAAAGTAATTCTTCTGAATTGGTGGAGAATCTTTTCTGAAGGTGATGACACCAAAAGTATGAAATATGGTGGAAAAATTATGAAATTATACAGGCAGAGACTTAGAGGTTTAGGTGTTATTTACACATCAGTGACTTTATCCACTTTGAGTCCTATTTTAAGCCAATTCCATTGCTCCATTCAAGCAAATTCTCTGCTATTTCACTACAGTCCCTTCTATTCTAGTGTACAGAAGTTGGAATTTGGCCAGTTCTACACAAAATTAAAAAAATGCCAATTTTAAAATAGAGTCCAAAATAAACAACGTAGACATTCCTGGCCTGAAAACAACATTTCCTCTGTTCATTAATCACATCCCCAGGCCTCTCCTATATTACACTTGCCTTCCATTTTGAATTCATAATCACACAAAAATAGAAGATTTGCTCTATTGGATAATATAACATAATCAGGAATGATTGGTCATGGTTTAGGGCTACCAAAATGTAACTGAATTCGACCTATTGAAAACCCATAAAACAAATCTGGGGTGTAAGGAGGATGTACCCTTCCTCAGGAAAATCAGCAAAAATCATCATGACATTTTTTTTTTTTATTCAGGCCTATGTACTTTCAGTCATATTCATATAAAATGTCTTTCTTGCTGGTGGCACCCCATCTTCTGCTGGCCAGACTTTTTGGTGATGTATCAGTATTGATGGCAGAGTGTTCTAAGATATGTAAATGGTAAATTTTGCTTGGTCAGATTGCAATATAACACATATAATGTAATAGGGTAAAGGACTGACATGGAAGATGAAGTATTGGAAGATAGTACGTAATATAAATACTTGAGATATCTTTTGGTATATACTCCACCAGTGTTTTTATCTCCACCTTCCACTATTCAATTTTGCTGTCTAGAAATTTAACAGATGGGTTTCATGTTCATATATTCTTGCATCCTATGCTGAGAATAAATTATTTTTTTAGAAAGTTTCTAATACTAATCATTCACAATGTGTTTTCAGTATGAAAGCAGTTTATTTGCAGTCTGTTGTAAGCCCAGTCATGGTGGCCCACCAGAATCGTCACTACCTCCGACCACCACCACAGCATCTATCTGATACTGATGAAAGCATTCATGAAATTGATGTAAGTTGCCATTTAACTAAATATTAATAAATGCTGATACATACTGTATGTCATGATCATGTCTTTCCTGTTTCTCTCTTCCAAAGTCATCAGCTCTTGGAAGTAATCTATTTGCAAACCTCCATTTTAAACAAGCTACTCGCATCTATATCACTATCTTCAGAGGTGTTGCCATCTGATAAATAATAAACTGCAATGGCTACCACAATCAGTAGTGATTTACAAACTCAAAATATTTCCAGTAGGTTTCTCTCAGTGTATTAACCACCAGTAATGCAGTCCAAAAGAAGTTGGAGGAAGGAATACTCATGCTCTTAGATGTACATGTCACTGTGTAATAATAAAAGTTTGTTTATTTATAGGGTGATGAAGACAGCTTTGTTGTAGATAACAATTTTGTGGAGTATGACACAGAATACCTTGGAGACACTATGCTTGCTGAAGATCCTATTATGGCCCAGGTAATGAAGTAAGATTTCTTAAAACTTAGTAATTTAAGTGTAGTAGTAATGCTTTTTAGTTAAAAGAAATTAAAGAGTGTAGTTTTGTGCTGAGAAATATTTTTTCTTTAAAAAATTTATAACTTTGGAATTTTTTAATAATATATACATAGGGATTTACTTTGAAATTGTTAAGTGTGCTTTGTCACTGCATAATTAACATATCATCAGTAATTTTTTTTAACCCAGGCTCTTCATGATGAAATGATTGCCAAGAAAATAAAGAATGATAAAAATGGAAACAAGAGAAAGAGAATAATTGTGCAGGAGTCTTCAAGTGATGAAGACAGTGTTATAGATGACAAGAAAACTAAAAGAGGAACCACTTCTCTCAAACAAAACTACAAGGATTGCAGCATTTCCTTACCGAAACCATTTGGCATCATTCAAGGTCAAGATTTTATCTTGGAGAGTAATACTGCACAAATGAAATCTGCCAGCAACAACTTATCAGATGTTGAAAATCCTTTAGATGTATCCCCAAGTTCAAAAAACAGTGACCATGCACAGACAACAATGACTAAAAAGATAATATTGCCCACAGCTTCTGATCAGTCAATATTATCAAAATCTTCACAGTTTTCAGTAAGTAGGAAATTATTTAGTGATGACAGCTGTTTTCAAAGTTCATCTTTTCACAAGCGTGCTGATAATCAGTTCAAGACAGTACCTCATGCTACAACACCTGCAGTGGCCAGAATTATGCCTGTGCAGAAGCCATTAGGTATTAATGCTTCAGAAGGTTTTTCTGTTTCATCAGAAGAGCTAAGAAACTCTGATCGAGAAACTCACCAAGCTCAAATATCATCAAAATTAAACAGCTCAGTAGCATTAAGTTTGAAAACTGAATTGGCCGCTTCCATCCTTGAGTCAGGGGCTGATGAGAGGGTGTCTGTTGATCATGCTATTATGCCATTTCATAACAAACACAGGGAAAGTCAGAGTGGAGGACACCTGACACACAGTAAACCAAGTACATCATCTCTGAACTCTGAGAAGGTAAGTAGATTCTAATACGGTATCTTATTCTATGGAAATAAATGGTATAAAATACCGATACAATGGAAATATAAACACATATGCAGTATAATGTGATCCTTTATTGACTACGTTTCGCCCACACAGTGGGCTTTTTCAAGTCACAAACAGATCTACCTGGGGTGGAAGAACACTGTAGAAGGTCTGCTCACAAACTTATCCAATCTCCTTTCCAAGCTACCCAAGATTTTAGACTCTATAACCCCACTCGGTACATCATCAGATGCAGCATTCTCCACCTGACCTCAGCATTCTGAACCTGACTATAAATACTCGCATCCCTTCCACCCCAGGTAGATCTGTTTGTGACTTGAAAAAGCCCACTGTGTGGGCGAAACGTAATCAATAAAGGATCACATTATACTGCATATGTGTTTATATTTCCATCTTATTCTATGATTTTATATGCTATTTACAGCCAAGAGAGCAGCTCTCACATCACCTCCAATGCTGTAACCTCTTGTTTACAAATTTCAGAAAATTTTAAATCAGCTATAATTGCTTTTTTTTTTTTTTTTTTTTTTTTTTTTTTTTTTTTTTTTTTTTTTTTGTAGTGATATTATGTATCATAAGAAGTGACTAAAATGCAGGGAGCAAGGGACTAGTAACCCCTTCTCCTGTACATATTACTAAATTTAAAAGGAGAAACTTTTGTTTTTTCTTTTGGGCCACCCCGCCTCGGTGGGATATGGCCGGTTTGTTGAAAGATTATGTTATACAGTAGAATTAATATTATTTCTGTTATTTAGTTTAGAACCTTGGTTAGGAGCTTCGGGACACTGTATTTTACTGTATTTTGGGATAATTAATGTGACCACCATTTTCTGTGTTGGTTCAATAATTTTGAACTATTATTTTAAAAAATGAAGAATAATGGACATTGCTGTTTAGTGAAACACCATATATGATGTATTTTACTGTATCTTGATGGTTTAATATTACATCAAATTCCTTAGTACCCATTATTTAATGCTACAGTATTTTGAAATTGAAAGTTTTCAGGCTACAGTACTATATTTTGCTTATCACTTACCACTTTATGTATAGTGTGGTAGCTAAGAATTTAGTGTATATTCATGTAATTAATGAGCAATGTTTAGAAAAAATATTTGTTTAAAATAATAAATCAAGTTTTATAAGATATAGAGAGGATTTATAACTTAAATATTTTGAAGATTCTTCCTGTGGTAGGATGAGCATTCCAAACAGTGAACCTTGATTTATGTTGGCACTATTCATTGTTTCTAACATAATGCTTTTGTTTTGGTCAAAAGCATATTTGCAGAACCTTAATATTTCTCCAGGTAGCAGTAATAGTTTTAGTTAACTCATGTGAGATAAGCAATGCCAGCAGAATTGTGTCCAAACTGAAACATGAGTATGGAGCCAGCACTGCAGTTGTCCAGCTAGCAAATGCACATTATATGGTGTCAACAAGAATGGCTGTGACTCGTTTGCTACACTCAGGTAATTTGTAGCTGTATATGCACCTATTCTATAAATACAGTAGTCATGTGTAATTATTTTTTTCATGTGATGTCACTTATTGCACCTAAAAAGTTTCATTGCTGTACTAGTACTATTTAAGAACATAAGAAAGGAATGTTAAATGTTAAAATGTTAAAAGCAGGTGGGGATATAGTTTTGGAGTGGTTGGTGCAATTATTTAATAAATGTATGGAAGAGGGTAAGGTACCTAGGGATTGGCAGAGAGCATGCATAGTTCCTTTGTATAAAGGCAAAGGGGATAAAAGAGAGTGCAAAAATTATAGGGGGATAAGTCTGTTGAGTGTACCTGGTAAAGTGTATGGTAGAGTTATAATTGAAAGAATTAAGAGTAAGACGGAGAATAGGATAGCAGATGAACAAGGAGGCTTTAGGAAAGGTAGGGGGTGTGTGGACCAGGTGTTTACAGTGAAACATATAAGTGAACAATATTTAGATAAGGCTAAAGAGGTCTTTGTGGCATTTATGGATTTGGAAAAGGCGTATGACAGGGTGGATAGGGGGGCAATGTGGCAGATGTTGCAAGTGTATGGTGTAGGAGGTAGGTTACTGAAAGCAGTGAAGAGTTTTTACGAGGATAGTGAGGCTCAAGTTAGAGTATGTAGGAAAGAGGGAAATTTTTTCCCAGTAAAAGTAGGCCTTAGACAAGGATGTGTGATGTCACCGTGGTTGTTAATATATTTATAGATGGGGTTGTAAGAGAAGTAAATGCGAGGGTCTTGGCAAGAGGCGTGGAGTTTAAAAGATAAAGAATCCACACACAAAGTGGGAGTTGTCACAGCTGCTCTTTGCTGATGACACTGTGCTCTTGGGAGATTCTGAAGAGAAGTTGCAGAGATTGGTGGATGAATTTGGTAGGGTGTGCAAAAGAAGAAAATTAAAGGTGAATACAGGAAAGAGTAAGGTTATGAGGATAACAAAAAGATTAGGTGATGAAAGATTGAATATCAGATTGGAGGAGAGAGTATGGAGGAGGTGAACGTATTCAGATATTTGGGAGTGGACGTGTCAGCGGTATGGGTCTATGAAGATGAGGTGAATCATAGAATTGATGAGGAAAAAGAGTGAGTGGTGCACTTAGGAGTCTGTGGAGACAAAGAACTTTGTCCTTGGAGGCAAAGAGGGGAATGTATGAGGGGTATAGTTTTACCAACGCTCTTATATGGGTGTGAAGCGTGGGTGATGAATGTTGCAGCGAGGAGAAGGCTGGAGGCAGTGGAGATGTCATGTCTGAGGGCAATGTGTGGTGTGAATATAATGCAGAGAATTCGTAGTTTGGAAGTTAGGAGGAGGTGCGGGATTACCAAAACTGTTGTCCAGAGGGCTGAGGAAGGGTTGTTGAGGTGGTTCGGACATTTTGAGAGAATGGAGCGAAACAGAATGACTTCAAGAGTGTATCAGTCTGTAGTGGAAGGAAGGCGGGGTAGGGTCGGCCTAGGAAGGGTTGGAGGGAGGGGGTAAAGGAGGTTTTTGTGTGCGAGGGGCTTGGACTTCCAGCAGGCATGCCGTGAGCGTGTTTGATAGGAGTGAATGGAGACAAATGGTTTTTAATACTTGACGTGCTGTTGGAGTGTGAGCAAAGTAACATTTATGAAGGGATTCAGGGAAACCGGCAGGCCGGACTTGAGTCCTGGAGATGGGAAGTACAGTGCCTGCACTCTGAAGGAGGGGTGTTAATGTTGCAGTTTAAAAACTGTAGTGTAAAGCACCCTTCTGGCAAGACAGTGATGGAGTGAATGATGGTGAAAGTTTTTCTTTTTCGGGCCACCCTGCCTTGGTGGGAATCGGCCGGTGTGATAATAATAAAATAAAAAAGAAAGGAGGAACATTGCCCATACTAGGTGGTCCTTATTTAACCCTTTCAGGGTCCATGCTGTAGATCTACGACTTTACGTTAAGGGTCCAAACCGTAGATCTATGCCAAAATTCTAGCAGCGTCAAATTTAGCGCGAAAAGGCTGGTAGACCTACATGTGAGAGAACGGGTCCGTGTGGTGTGTGTGCGCCATAAACAAAAATTCTAGGCACCCGCATAGCATTGTGGGAACGCCGGCTCAGTTACCTTTGTTCACCATGCCTCGTCGCAAGGCAGCTCTCACTCCAAGGAAAATTGGGACTCTCCTCTTCCTATCTGATAGTTCTGACTCTGATGGAAGTGGAAATGAAGACGAATTCAGTTAGTGACTGAAAGGAATGACCAGGATATCGATAATAGTGCAGAAAACCCTGACGGTCCTCAACCTTCTACCTCTGGTGTGGGCACGCCTCAGTCACGTTCAGAAAGAAAACTATTATTTTCATGTGGCCAGGCCTCTGACTTCAGTAATGATGATGATAGTGACGTGGATTGTGATTTTATTGCTCTTGACGATCATTCAAGTAGTGATAGTGAGGAAACATATTCACCAGTGAAGCGTTGGTATATACGCTGCCGCATGCGCTCGGGTAGTGTTCCCTATGCAGTGCCCAGGGACGGAGTACATCCCAGAGTACATCCCGTGGCCCCACACCAGGGATAGACATGAAAGTGAGGATGATGTGGCTACACTTGGCATGGATAGACCACAGCATCAGTAGGTGGTGGTAGTGGTGATGGTAGTGCCATGGCATGCATGACTCACCAGCCCAGGCTGGGACCCATGCTGCTGACTCCTCAGTTCAAGGACAAAGCAGAGTGTCAGCCACCACCCCACCACAACCACAACTACCAGCACAACCAGCTTATGATGTCCAGTATCCACTAGCAAACCGTATCTGGGATTGGCAGCAAAATCCCAATTTTGTTCCCAAGCCCCACCACTTTGATGACTCTCAAAGTGGAAATTCTACCAACTTGGGTCCCCTGGAAACACTGCAACTAAACTGGAATTCTTTGAACTATTCTTTGACCAGCCCTTGATGTAAATTATTGTCAGGGAAAGTAACAAGTATTTTGAGTGCACCATGGCAAATACGATCATATCACCACAGTCAAGACTACACCGGTGGAAAGAGACAACTGTTGCAGAAATATATTTGCTTTTTGCAACAATAATGCTTATGCCTCATGTCTATAAAGCATAATATAAAATCATACTAGTCCACAGATCGGCTAATTTGTACCCCGGTCTTCAGTGAAATCATCCCAGTGAACAGGTTTATCTTACTGTTACGTATGTTGCACTTCTCTGACAAAACCAGGCCTGACAGAAGTGACAGATTATACAAGATTAGAAATGTTTTTATGTATCTGAAACAAAAGTTCAATATGTACTTTTATCCATTCAAGAATCTTTTACTTGACGAATCTTTGATTTTGTTTCAAAGGCAGACTGTCGTTCAAACAGTATATACCGAGCAAGAGGAAATGCTTTGGTATAAAAACTGTTTGTACTCTGTGACTGTGACAGTGGCCTGGTATTGGATATTGTTGTATACACGGAAGAAAAACATTGAAAGATACCAGGATGTTATTGGGTATCTCAGGTGACGTAGTGAGAAGCATGATGGCACCTTATCTTGGTAAGGGGCATATACATTATATACTGATAACTGGTACACAAGCCCTTTACTCAGTGATTTCTTGCGAGTGAACATGACAGATGTGTGTGGCACAGTGCGTTCTAATCGTAAACATATGCCCAGGTTCAAAGTAGGCACTCGGGGTTTGAAGAGGTGCAGGTGTTTACTGCCAATGACATCATGGCATTACTGTGCATGACAAATGAGATGTCACATTATTGACAACCATTCACCCTAACAAAATGATTGCTTGAGAGATGCTATCTCCTGCTATCTGTTTTTTCATTTAATCCACACCAATAAACTCTCTCAACATTTTCTAACACTTGCGGTCGCTGTTTCATAATCACAGTTGCACCTTTTGCAAGAAACATCTTCCTTGATTGCCGTTTTCTTGCTCACTATAGTAGAGATGGTTGATTGGGTTTACTATACAACCTGACCAGCTCCGACACCAGCACTCCACTTTCATACTTTGCAATTATCTCTTTCTTCATTTCAACAGTCATTAGCACCCTTGGTCTCGAAGGGTTGGCACTGGGAGCTTTCTTGGGGCCCATGGTGACTTATTTTGCAAAAACAGGCACCAAAAACAGTGATAATATGGAATGTACCGAATGTATCCTTAGATGCGCGCACACTGGCTGGCTTGTAAACACTGGCACACACGGGGCAGTTCAGGCCACACATGGACACGTCTCGTACGAACCACATCGCATACCGGGTTTTGTATCAGGAAGCGAGGTAAATTTTCTGCGATATAATGCATCGGTTACCGGATTTATCAGATACCGATAGCATCGTGAACCGGGGGTCCACTGTATACAAAACATGTGCTTGGTTGACAAATGTGACATGCAGATTGGCTTTGTTGATTGTGTTCATAAAAGTTACAAGTGGTACATAAAACTTTTCTTCCATCTCATGGACATTTCAATGCTGAATGCATATAATATGTACCAAGTGAAGACTGGCAACAGACCACCGTATGGTGAACTTTGTTTGTCTGTTGTCAGACAACTCATAATGAAATACCAGGTAACAACACCTGCTATATGTACAAAACTGTCCTCGAACTCCTGAGGATATACCCAAGCGTTTGAGGACGGAAGGTGATCACTTCATAATACAGCTTCCTGCAACTAAGAAGCAATTTGCTCAGAAGAGATGTATTGTCTGTGCACAAACAAAATGACGGCAACAAAGAAGCAAAGACACTCGGTTTATGTGCGAGGAATGTAAGGTACCTCTGTGCATGATACCGTGTTTCAAGGAGTTCCACAAGCTGCAGCAGTTCTAAAAGCATGTCCAGTGATTGTACATATGTAAATATATGACAGAACATTAGTATTATACAAGATTTGTGCATGTTTATTGTAATAAACAAAAGCGGTAAACAATATTATAATAATAACTTTAGTGCGGTTATTGTGTTCAATACAGTGAGTTTATATATATACATTATATACAGTATTGGTCTCACAGGCCACAAATGTTACTAGGAAAAGAAAAATATTAGAGAAGAAAAAAAGTATAAAAAACGTAAAATAAAGAAATGCGAATTTGCAGAAATCGCCAATATTGCCGCTACCCGGTCATTTTGGGTCAACTTCTTGTCTCTGTATCTCAGTAAGTACTGAGCAGGAAATTTTCTTTTTGTTTTATTACCTTCACAAAAATATACTCTTTAATTCTGTAAGAATTTTTTTTTTTTTTTTTTTTTTTTTTTCAAAATTTCTTGGACACTGGGGCACCCCTTCCGATTTTGGCCTTGGACCCTGAAAGGGTTAACCCTTAAACTGTCCAAACATGGATCTTTGTTTACGTGTGTAGTGCTCCGAACGTAGATCTACGTTTTTTACATGCTTTCAAATGGAAAAAAATAAAAGTCAAAGCGCTACGAACGTGAATGTAGATCTATGTTTGGACAGTTTAAGGGTTAAGTTAACTTTTTTATAGAAATTGGTTACTGCAAAGGCTAAGACAAAAAATGTAAACAAGATTATTGGCTATAATTATACTAACACTCTTGTTTGGGTGTGAGGCATGGGTTGTGAATGTTGCAACAAGGAGAAGGCTGGAGGCAGTGGAGATGTCATGTCTGAGGACAATGTGTGGTGTGAATATAATGCAGAGAATCTGTAGTTTGGAGATTAGGAGGAGGTGTGGGATTACTAAAGCTATTATCCAGAGGGCTGAAGAGGGGTTATTGAGATGGTTTGGACATGTAGAGAGGATGGAACAAAATAGAATGACTTTGAGTGTATAAATCTGTAGTGGAGGGAAGGCGGGGTAGGGGTCAGCCTAGGAAAGGTTGGAGGGAGGGGGTAAAGGAGGTTTTGTGTGCGAGGAACTTGGACTTCCAGCAAGCGTGCATGAGCGTGTTAGATAGAAGCGAATGGAGACAAATGGTTTTTAGGACTTGACGTGCTGTTGGAATGTAAGCGAGGTAACATTTATGAAGGAATTCAGGGAAACCGGCAAGCCAGATTTGATTCCTGGAGATGGGAAGTACAGTGCCGGCACTCTGAAGGAGGGTTGTTAATGTTGAAGTTTTATAACTGTAGTGTAACCATGCCTCTGGCAAGACAGTGATGGAGTGAATGATGATGAAAGTTTTTCTTTTTCAGGCCACCCTGCCTTGGTGAGAAACGGCCAATGTGTTAATAGAAAAACAAAATATTGGCTATTTTTTTCAAACACTTGTAGAAATGGAGAATGAACGTGACATGGTTCTTGTATGGAGTTAAGTGATTTGTAAAGGGGCTTGGAGAGAAATCTGTATGCATTGTCATCATGCAATGAAGCTGACAAAGAGCTCTTGTATGGGGGTTGGATGACCTATACAAGGCATTACAACCAGTTTTACCAAGAAAAATAGTTGTACTGTACTTGATTGTGTAGCTTGCCTTTTTTCCTTGGTTTATAGCTTCTTGTAACTGGAAAAAAGTTTTCACCAACCTTAGCAATTCTAAAGTTGTGCAGTCGGCCAGAATCATATGTATTCTGCAAAGAAGCCCATTAATGACTTTATCATTCTTTGAAGAAATAATCTCTAGCATCATCTTGACACTTTTTCTCTCAGTTTATAACTTGTTTACAGTTCACTATTTACCTTGGGATTCATATTTTAAAATAAAATTGCATGTTGCATATGGAATAAATATTTTGCTAATGGTTTGTTTCTTTTCTTCTCAGTATTCAGTAACTGTCAACAGAGAGCAAAGTTGGTGCAGAGAGTACAAGGAATGTTGGATTTGTATGATAGACCTGTTATTATTGTAGAGATGGATCGTTTGAAGCCCGGAGAATCATCCCACCGTGGAAAAATTCGTTCAAAATATCTGGATACAATTGCATGTGCTTGTACACAGGTCACACAGCTCAAGGTCCTCTATTCAAGTGGCCAAGGTAAATATTTTGCCATTAATAACTCTTCAGGGAAAGTTCCTTGATACCAGTGAGGGACTATTTTTTATTTTTTAACAAACTAGCCATATCCCACCAAAACAGGTTGACCCAAAAATAAAAACAAAAGTCTTCTTTTTATATGTAGTAATTTAAGCATTATGGTCACCTCTTACGACATGCATGGCTTATGGAGGAAGAATTCCTTTCCACTTACCCATGGAGATATTAAGAAATAAAGGAGAACAAGAACTATTAAGAAAATAGAAGAAAACCCAAATGGGTGTGTAAATATACATGCATGTACATGCATGTTTAGTGTGACCTAAGTGTAAGTATAAGTAGCAAGATATACCTGTTATCCCCTGTGTTTATGAGACAAAAAAGACACCAGCAATTCATGTAAAACAATTACAGGTTTCCATTTCACAGTCACATGGGTGGTTGCTGTCTACCAACCTACTACCTAGGTATTTATTCAAGTGGTTATATGAGATGAATCTCTGAGACAGAGATTCATCTAGCCTAAATTGAGGGTGTCCCTGGCCAGTCATTTTAATGTTGCATGTGTTATACTTCCTTTTGTTTTTGCTGGTATGGACCATATCACACTACAGTGGACCCTCAGTTAACGATTTAATCCGTTCCAAAGTGCTTGTCTTTAACCGATTCTGTCGTTTTCCAAATTAATTTTCCCCATAAGAAATAATGGAAATCCACATAATCCGTTCCACAGACACCCAAAAGTATTAACCCTTAAACTGTCCAAACGTAGATCTACGTTTGCACGCGTAGCGCTTCGACCTTGATTTTCTCCATAAGAAAGAATGTAAAAAAAAAAACGTAGATGTATGTTCAGAGCGCTTCGTGAGCGAATGTAGATCTATGTTTGGACAGTTAGAGGGTTAAACAAAATAATTTTTTTACATGAAATATACATTTCCCTACACAAAAAACAATGAGACATGCAGAATAAATACACTAATAATTAATAAAATTTCACCTTTATTGAAGATGTATTTGATGAGTGATGAGATGGGAGGAGGGCAGAGGATGGAGGAGTTTACAATTGTTTAGAAGGGGAATCCCACTCCATAAGGACTTTTGGTACCAAGTCCTTTTCTAGGGTTACCTCCCTTCTTTGTTTTTTAATGCCACTAGGACCAGCTTGAGAGTCACTGGGCTCCTTGTTGCACCAAAAATCTGTCCAGAGAGCTCTGTTTCTGGTGTCTCTTTAAAATTTCCCTAAAATGGGACACAACATTGTCATTGTAGATGTTGCCAGCACAGCCTGCAACAGCTGTGTCAGGGCAATGTTCATCCATAAATGATTGCATATAAGAAAGCAGGAACACTGCAGCAAACCTGTTGGCCCATACTAAGCAGGTCCTTCACAAACCATCCCATTAACAGAATTGTATTTGCCCAACCCAATTTTCAATGCTTTCCAAACAATCAGCTTTGATAATTCTATTCACTCATGCACAAGTCCCACTCAAATCAAATGTGTGGGGCCCTGACTAGTATGTGGGGAAGTACCCTGGCTGGTATGTGGGGAAGTACCCTGGCTGGTGTGTGGGGAAGTACCCTGGCTAGTATGTAGGGAAGTACCCTGGCTGGTATGTGGGAAACTACCCTGGCTGGTATGTGTGGAAGTACCCTGGCTGGTGTGTGGGGAAGTACCCTGGCTGGTATGTAGGGAAGTACCCTGGCTGGTATGTGGGGAAGTACCCTGGCTGGTGTACCACCATCACTACCACCTTCTACCACCACCACTTTCATATCTTTTTACAAACTTTTTCTTGAATTCTATAGTGTTTCTCACCCTCTTTACCACTAGAAGCTTTCTTTGGGCCCATGATGGCTTATTTAGCAGTTACAAGCACTAAAACAATGGAATAATACAAAATGTATCGCATGTACGCGTGGAATCGTCCTCACTGGCTTGTAAACAATGGCACACTGGCTGTACATGGAGCGGCAGGGCCACTCAGGCCACGCGGACACGTTCGGGACGAATGACTTTAACCGAGTTCTTTGTCGTTAACTGAGCCAATATTTTGACGCAAAAACGTGTCGTTATCCGATTTTTACATTATCTGATGACGTCATTAACTGAGGTCCACTGTATATCTAAAACTACATGTACAAAACAAGGTCATGGTTCATCCTTCTGATTTTATGGTTCAAGTCATACCCCTGTAGGATCCATGTAAGTGCTTCTGTATTCAGCCACTGACTAACTGACTTGTAGTTACATAGAGGAGAAAGCCTAAAGCCATCTTAATTTCTTAAACACTGATGCTTCATAAAATATGTACAGAATCAGTCCCAGAGTTTGATTGATCCCATCATGTTTTTGCACAATACAGTGGACCCCCGCATAACGATGGCATCGCATAGCGATTTTTCCGCATAACGATTACTTTTATCGCAAAATTTTTGCCCCGCATACCGATTAAAAACCCGCATACCGATTTTCGTCCGAGACGCGTCCAATGTGCCCTCAGCCAGCCTCACATGTGCCGCTCCGTCCCATTGTTTACCAGCCAGCCTCCGCGGTAACATCCAAGCATACACTCGGAATATTTCGTATTATTACAGTATTTTCGGTGCTGTTTCTGGAAAATAAGTGACCATGGGCCCCAAGAAAGCTTCTAGTGCCAACCCTACACCTCAAAGGGTAAGAATTACTATAGAGATGAAGAAAGAGATAATTGATAAGTATGAAAGTGGAGTGCGTATAGCCGACCTAGTCAAGCTGTACAAGAAACCCCAATCAACCATCGCTACTATTGTGGGCACCAGAAAGACAATCAAGGAAGCTGTTCTTGCCAAAGGTTCAACTGTGTTTTCGAAACAAAGATCGCAATTGATGGAAGATGTTGAGAGACTCTTATTGGTGTGGATAAATGAAAAACAGATAGCAGGAGATAGCGTCTCTCAAGCGATCATATGTGAAAAGGCTAGGAAGTTGCATGACGATTTAATTAAAAAAATGCCTGCAACTAGTGATGATGTGAGTGAATTTAAGGCCAGCAAAGGTTGGTTTGAGAGATTTAAGAAGCGTAGTGGCATCCATAGTGTGATAAGGCATGGTGAGGCTGCCAGTTCGGACCACAAAGCGGCTGAAAAATATGTGCAGGAATTCAAGGAGTACATAGAAACTGAAGGACTGAAACCTGAACAAGTGTTTAATTGTGATGAAACAGGCTGTTCTGGAAGAAAATGCCAAGCAGGACCTACATTACTCAGGAGGAAAAGGCACTCCCAGGACATAAGCCTATGAAAGACAGGCTTACTTTGTTGATGTGTGCCAATGCTACTGGTGATTGCAAAGTGAAGCCTTTATTAGTGTATCACTCTGAAACTCCCAGAGCGTTCAGGCAAAAGAATGTCCTCAAGGATAATTTGTGTGTGCTGTGGAGGGCAAACAGTAAGGCATGGGTCACTAGGGAATTTTTCTATAACTGGTTACACCATGCATTTGCCCCCAATGTGAAAAATTACCTAACTGAAAAGAAATTAGAACTTAAGTGCCTCCTGGTGTTAGACAATGCCCCTGGTCATCCTACAGACGTGGCAGAGCGACTTTATGGGGACATGAGCTTCATTAAGGTGAAGTTTTTGCCTCCTAATACCACTCCTCTCCTGCAGCCCATGGACCAGCAGGTTATTTCCAACTTCAAGAAACTGTACACAAAAGCTCTGTTTGAAAGGTGCTTTGTAATGACCTCAGAAACTCAACTGACTCTAAGAGAGTTTTGGAGAGATCACTTTAATATCCTCAATTGTGTAAACCTTATAGGTAAGGCTTGGGAGGAAGTGACAAAGAGGACCTTGAACTCTGCTTGGAAGAAACTGTGGCCAGAATGTGTAGACAAAAGGGATTTTGAAGGGTTTGAGGCTAACCCTGAGAATCCTGTGCCAGTTGAGGAATCCATTGTGGCATTGGGAAAGTCCTTGGGGTTGGAGGTTAGTGGGGAGGATGTGGAAGAGTTGGTGGAGGAGGACAATGAAGAACTAACCACTGATGAGCTGCTAGATCAACTTCAACAGCAAGAGGCCACACCTGAGGAAATTGCTTCGGAGGAGGGGAGAGAGAAATTGAAGAAGTTGCCTACTTCAAAGATTAAGGAAATCTGTGCAAAGTGGCTTGAAGTGCAAACCTTCATGGATGAAAATCACCCTCACACAGCTATTGCAAGCCGTGCTGGTGATTATTACACTGACAATGTTGTGAAACACTTTAGGCAAGTCATAAAGGAACGAGAGGTACAGGCCACTATGGACAGATATCTTGTGCGAAAGAAGTCCAGTGACTCTGAAGCTGGCCCTAGTGGCATTAAAAGAAGAAGGGAAGTAACCCCAGAAAAGGACTTACTACCTCAAGTCCTAATGGAAGGGGATTCCCCTTCTAAACACTAACACACTCTCTCCCCTCCTCCCATCCCATCAATCATCACCAGATCTTCAATAAAAGTAAGTGTCATTTAATTGTGCATGCCTTTTTCAGTTTGTGTGTATTAAAATTAACATTTCATGTGGTAAAAAAAATTTTTTTTCATACTTTTGGGCGTCTTGCACGGATTAATTTTATTTCCATTATTTCTTATGGGGAAAATTCATTCGCATAACGATTATTTCGCATAACGATGAGCCCTCTTGCACGGATTAAAATCGTTAACCGGGGGTCCACTGTACTATAGTACGTATATATGGTATGCCATCCGTGATGGTATATAGTAAACTACTAAAGAGTAGTACCACCTTATAAATCTACTGTTAAATTGCTCTGTTTTTGTCTGATCTGGTGTCCCATGAGCACCACTTCATTGGTCTGCAGTTACTAACAATGTCCTGATATGTTTGCAAATAAATAATTTTTTTTAACACAATGGCCGTTTCCCACCGAGGCAGGGTGACCCCAAAAGAAAGAAACTTTCATCATCATTCAACACTTTCACCATCACTCATCCATAATCATTGTCTTTGCAGAGGTGCTCAGATACGACAGTTTAGACATCCCTCCAAACTGCCAATATCCTAAACCCCTCCTTTAAAGTGCAGGCATTGTACTTCCCATTTCCAGGATTCAAGTCCAGCTAACTGGTTTCCCTGAATCCCTTCACAAAATATTACCCTGCTCACACTCCAACAGCTTGTCAGGTCCCAAAAACCATTCGTCTCCAAACCCCCTCGCCCACAAAACCTCCTTTATCCCCTCCCTCCAACCTTTTCGGGGATGACCCCTACCCTGCCTTCCTTTCCCAATAGATTTATACATTCTCCAAGTCATTCTACTTTGTTCCATTCTCTAAATGACCAAACAACCTCAACAACCCCTCTTCAGCCCTCTGACTAATACTTTTAGTAGCTCCACATCTCCTAATTTCCACACTACAAATCCTCTGCATAATATTTACACCACACATTGCCCTTAGACAGAACATCTCCACTGCCTCCAGCCACCTCCTCGCTTCACCATTTACAGCCCCAGCTTCAAACCCATGTAAGAGTGTTGGTACCACTACACTCTCATACATTCCCTTCTTTTCCTACATGGATAATGTTCTTTGTCTCCACAGATACCTCAATGCACCACTCACCTTTTTTTCTTCATCACTTGTATGGTTTTCCTCATCCTTCATAAACCCATCTGGTGACAAGTCAACTCCCAAATATCTTAAAACATTCACTTCTTCCATACCCCCTCCCTCCAGTGTGATATCCAATTTTTCTTTATCTAAATCATTTGATACCCTCATCACCTTACTCTTATCTGTATTCACTTTCAACTTTCTACCTTTATGCACCCTTTTATTCATTAATAATATTAAATTTTATTTATATTTAGCTGTTATGGAGGTTATTAAATGTTATATAATTAATCATATTCCTACTCTTTGAATTCCAGTAATGGATATTATTCAACATCTTTGTAGCTATGTATGTATATTTAGAGTAATATGATGCTATTTATATTAAGAACATAATTTAATTTACCAAAACTTTTATTAAATGTATTCTGGTATGAGTGTTACATTCTGATGGATATGATTATTATAATCATGGGGAAGCACTAAACCTGTAGGATTACACAGCTCCTGTGGGTAGGGGCATAGAAGGTATTCAGGCTTAATTAAGGGAACTGGAGCACAGATCCAATTTCCTAGATCAAGACTCCCTCACCAGCATCAAGGAACCTCTCTTGAGGGGATTCTGATGGATAGGTTGGTGTTGTAGTTCAGGGCCATTTGAACTATGATATCCATGCACTTCTGGCAAGACTGCTAGTGGATGAATAATGGTGAATATGCTTCCTTCTTGGGAATGTGTTTCTTTGTTGGGAAATAATGGATGTACAACAGTAAAAAATAAAAAGCATTATGGCAATGCGATGTCCATTATCCATTTGTGAAGAGTTAACGCCTAGCTTCTCTGTTGATAAATTTTTTAATTGAAAACTGGTTGTAGGGATCTTTATTAAGTAGACTATTAAAAGAGTGTTCTGTTAACAGAGGAGACAGCCTCAGTGTTGTTGAAGTTGGCACAGCAAGAAAGTTCCAAAGGATACAGCATTCCTGTTAATCCAGAGCATGTAACCAAAGCCAAACAGGTTAGTTTCCACATAGCTTTATTTTCTGTATTTCTTGTATACTTGTTGTTTTTTCTATAATTGTAATTACCATTGGATAATTCAAGAATTTGCCAAAGAAGAGTAATGTTATAAGGAACAGTACAGTGCTTCCACAGTTTTGTTAATTCCGAGCTTAATCACACACACTTTGTGTGTCTAATTTAACAGATGACAAAGTACAATAAATGATAAAATTCACCACATTGTTAGAATAATGCCCTGCTCTAGGTGAGAGGTCATTACTGTTCTTCACTCATATGAATTTATCACAGCACAGTCAACGTGAAAACGCTATTTGTGAGACTGTAAAGCAGAATTATTTAATTTTGCACAAGGAACACAGATAATTCTTTTATATTATCCTTCTGGTTTGCAACTCACTGAAAAGCCTCATAGCATGTCTGCTATTTTTGTATACATTACTCTATAATTATGGAGATACTAAAATGAAAATCAGGCAGTGAAGAATCTTACATAAAGTGCACTAAGTACTGTATGATTTGGCTACATTTTTAGAACTGATATCACATTGGAGAGAGAGAGTATGAAAGATGAGGTTAACCATAGAATTGATGAAGGAAAAAAGGTGAGTGGTGTGTTGAGGTACCTGTGGAGACAAAAAACGTTGTCCATGGAGGCAAAGAAGGGAATACGAAAGTATAATAGTACCAACACTTTTATATGGGTGTGAAGCTTGGGCTGTAAATGCTGTGGCGAGGAGGCAGCTGGAGGCAGTGGAGATGTCGTGTCTAAGGGCAATGTGTGGTGTAAATATTATGCAAAGAATTCAGAGTGTGGAAATTAGGAGGACGTGTGGAGTTACTAAAAGTATTAGTCAGAGGGCTGAAGAGGGGTTGTTGAGGTGGTTTGGTCATTTAGAAAGAATGGAACAAAGTAGAATGACTTGGAGAGCATATAAATCTGTAGGGGAAGGAAAGTGGGGTAGGGGTCATCCTCAAAAAGGTTGGAGAGAGGGTAAAGGAGGCTTTGTGGGTGAGGGGCTTGGACTTCCAGCAAGCTTGCGTGAGTGTGTTAGAATGGAGACGAATGGTTTTTGGGACCTGACGAGCTGTTGGAGTGTGAGCAGGGTAATATTTTGTGAAAGGATTAAGGGAAACCAGTTAGCCGGACTTGAGTCCTGGAAATGGGAAGTACAATGCCTGCACTTTAAAGGCAGTTTGGAGGGACTTCTAAACTATCGTATCTGATCTCCTCTTCAAAGACAGTGATTATGCATGAGTGATGGTGAATGATGATGAAAGTATTTTTCTTTTTTTTTTTTTGGGGTCAACCTGCCTCAGTGGGAAATGGCCAGTGTGTTAAAACAAAAAATCCGTCATATTTTCTTTTTCACTAAACATGTGCTTATAAAAGACACCCTTTCATTATGATATTTTAAATTATTAATTTCAGTGTTTTATGCTTTGTTTATCTCATTCTAGGTAGTGAATTTCTACCTCACATTACCTCACATCAGTTATGTTACTGCTTTGTGTTTGGCAGTGAATTTTAGAAATGTTGCAGACTTCATAAACAGGTGAGAATCAAGAATATTTTTTGTTAAAATAAATTGAGTGTGTGTAAGTAAGTGTGTGTGAGTGGGTGTGTGCATGTGAATGGGTGTGTGAGTGAGTGTGTTTGTAAGTGAGTGTGTGTGAGTGAGTGAGTTAGTTAGTGAAATAGTGAGTTAGTTGTCATATCTCCCCTCATTCTGTGTCTTTGAAGAGAGTATAAATGTACTTTATGAAATTCACTGTAAGAAAATCATGCAATATGAAATCATATTATATAAGGATTTACAGTATAATTATTCTTCCAATTAATTATTTATTCTGCTGTGTTGATTTTACCAGTTCTGCAGAGACTGTACGAGACAAGGGTCGAATTTCACTGCAGAAAGCAACAGCCATCAAGCAGTACCTATGCAGAGGTTTTAGACCAGATATGCTGCCTCCTCAGTAACTTTAGGTCTTTTCTTGACTACCTTGTAAATTTGGCTGGCTGCTAAAAAAAAAAATCACAATACCACGGCTGGAACGAATCCATTGTTCCTCTTTGCCCTGGATCATTTTCAGGTCACATTGGTTGTGCTGTGATCATGGTAAAGGATGACCATGATCACTTTACCTTTCTAGACACTAAGCTTTTCATATATCAGTAGTATATTATTTAAAAAATGCTGATAATTCTTGTTATACAATTAATTTTTTTTAATAATAATAGTATACGTATAATACTTTGGTAAATGTTAATAAGCACGCACTTGTACATAAGCTTAAATATTTATTGTGTTTGATTCCTGCTGTGCAATATTCCAGGGATTCCTCATTTTTAACCAAAATTTTAATTCCTCTACCTCTAAGACACTTACCTGAAAGCCAACTTTCAAATATTCTTATTATTATATACTAAAACATTTGTTTTTTTTACCGTATGGCAGTCTCCCACTGACACCTTGGAGATGTCCTGTCTAAGGGCAATGTGTGGTGTAAATATTATGCAGAAAATTTGGAGTGTGGAAATTAGGAGAAGGTGTGGAGTTAATAAAAGTATTAGTCAGAGGGCTGAGGAGGGGTTGTTGAGGTGGTTTGGTCATTTAGAGAGAATGGATCAAAGTAGAATGACATGGAGAGTGTATAAATCTGTAGGGGAAGGAAGGCGGGGTAGGGATCGTCCTCGAAAAGGTTGGAAGGAAGGGTAAGGGAGGTTTTGTGGAGGAGGGGCTTGGACGTCCAGCAGGCGTGCATGAGCGTGTTCTATAGGAGTGAATGGAGACGAATGGTATTTGGGACCTGACTTATCTGTTGAAGTGTGAGCAGGGTAATATTTAGTGAAGGGATTCAGGGAAACCAGTTATTTTTATCTAGCTGGACTTGAGTCCTGGAAATGGGAAGTACAATGCCTGCGCTTTAAAGGAGGGGTTCGGGATATTAGCAGTTTGGAGGGATACGCTGTGTATCTTTTAACGTATATGCTTCTAAACTGTTGTGTTTGAGCACCTCTGCAAAAACAGTGATCATGTGTGTGAGGTGAAAGCGTTGAATGATGATGAAAGTATTTTCTTTTTAGGGATTTTCTTTCTTTTTGGGTCACCCTGCCTCGGTGGGAGATGGCCGACTTGTTAAAAAAAAAAAAAAGTATTTGCTGCTCTTCAGTAGTGGCATATTTATTTTTTTTGAACTGGATATTGATAGAGCTCAGTGAGTGATATAAATGGTGAGGAATATATAAATTATGGGTAACATGAGAAAACCTGGGAAGTTAAGGAATTTGGCAGCTAAAAGTCAAAGCAGAGAGATGTACAATGGGAAGGTGAAGGTCCTGAAAAGATGGAGAGACTATTTTAAGGTGTTCTTAAATTAGGATGATGACAATGATTTGGCAATTTGGTGCATGAGCATTTGGATCTGGTAGGAGAAGGAAATTCTAAGACATTTTAACCCTTTGGGGGTTTCGGACGTACTAGTACGTCTTACGACCCAGGGTTTTTGACGTACTTGTACGCCTAAATTCTAGCACCTTCAAATCTAGTGAGAGAAAGCTGGTAGGCCTACATATAAAAGAATGGGTCTATGTGGTCAGTGTGCGCAGTATAAAAAAAATCCTGCAGCACACAGTTCGTAATGAGAAAAAAAAACTTGGACCGTGTTTTTGGATTAAAACAGCGACTTTGCACTGTATTTTCGTATGGTTTTATTGTTGTATTCTAGTTTTCTTGGTCTCATTTTATAGAATGGAAGACATATTACAGAAATTGAGATGATTTTGACTGGTTTTACAATGAAAAGTACCTTGAAATTGAGCTCAAAGAAGCAGAAATGTTCGATTTTTACCCAAGTTCAAAAGTAAACAAATCATGCTAAGCGTGCAATACACATCAACTGGTGAGTCTAATATTCTTTCACAAGTGCGCTGATATTATTTATACCATTTCTACACTAATGCAGTAGTCTGCATAACAGTAAATCTTATTTTTTTTTTAAGAATAAAAATTCAAAGTGGAAAGCCAAAGAAATATAAGAGGGGCCTGGGGATGTGACTAACGAACAGAGAACTTGTTATTTTAGTGCCAGGAATGTCTTTCTTGTTTATTCTGGACCCTATTCAGAAATTGGCATCTTTCGAAATTTGTGTGAAATTGGCAAAACTGCTAAATTCTGACCACTTTATTGGATAGTTGAAATCGGTAAATGGGTGGTTTCTTGTACTCATTCGATAGAAAAAAATGGAGTTCTAGCGAAATAGTTATGATTTTTGTCGACTAGTACACTGGAATTGGCCGAAAATAGGGCTCAAATTTGGCAAAATCGCCGATGCGTAAACATCGTTGAGACCGCTAACTTCGCGAGAGCATAATTCCGTAAGTTTTCCATCAAATTTCATACTTTTGGTGTCATTATGATCGGGAAAAGATTCTCTATCTTTTCATAAGAAAAATTTTTTTTTTTTTAATTTGGCTGACCCTGAGAACACGTCTCTGAGAGGACCTGTCGACCCCCAAAGGATTAAGCAGACTAACCTTTGTTTTATGACATTTCACCCACAGTGGAGTGATATCAAATCCCCACTTTGGGCGAGATGTAAAATAAAGGTTATTGCTTCTTAGCGTCTTTTAATTACCACTTGTTAATTTATGCCATTATTTACCTGGGAGAAGAGGAGCCAGAGGTGAGTGTGGAGGAAATGGGTGTGGAGGAAATGGTATAGATGTGATTAGGGCAGAGATATAGTTTAAAATAATTGGTGAATTTGTTTAATTTGTGTGTAAAAGAAGAGAAGATACCTAAGGATTTGTAGAAAGCATAAGATGAAAGAAAAAAATAGAGAGTGTAAGAATAATAAGGTATATGTCTGTTGAGTTCTCCATGGGAAAGTGAAGAAGAATTCTTCCTCTGTAAGTCATGCTTGTCATAAGAAGTGACTAAAATGCCAGGAGCACGAGACTAGTAACCCCTTCTCCTGTATAAATTACTAAATGTAAAAAAAAAGAAAAGCTTTCGTTTCTTTTTTTTTGGTCATCCTGCATCGGTGGGAAACAGCCAGTGTGTTAAAAAAAAGTCTGTTGAGTATACCAGGTAAAATGCAGAGCATAATTATTATCAAAAAATTTAAGGAAAGAGAGAAAGTAGGATTACAGGAAAAAAAACACGAGTGGCTTTAGAAAGTGAAAATGTGTGGATCAGGCATGTGTGGATTAAAGCATGTAAATAAATTAGAGAATAGTTGAGGCAAACAAGATAGCTTTGACATTGAAAAGTCTTTGGAAAGAAAGTGGTCATGAATGGATGCAAGAAATGTGGATGTATCAGCATATATGGGTGAACCATACCCCCGGCCAGGATTGAACCCGCGGTCATAGAGTCTCAAAACTCCAGCCCGTCGCGTTAGCTAACGCGACGGGCTGGAGTTTTGAGACTATGACGGCGGGTTCAATCCCGGCCGGAGGTATGGTTTATTTGCAATCGTGTCATTACGATTTCTTAAGTCATATATGGGTGCTAACACTTGCATGAGTATGAGGCATTGCTTTCAAATGTTGCAGAGAGCAGCTGACTATCTTCTCTTTTTTCTCTAGTATAATCAATCACCAGTAACACAGAAGAGGAATATTTCTCATTAGTTACCCTTCAGTGACTTTCTCTCAGGGTGCCATAAAAGTAAAAAAAAATTACATTTTCACCCTTACTGACTTAAAAGAATGCTAAATGTATTTTAGCATAAAAATTAGCCAGTAATTCAATGGGGACAAAAAAGTAGATTAAGATTGATAAATTGTTTTATCACCACATTCTTGAATTTCCTATCAGTAACATTTTTTCAAAACTGAAAACCTTTCAATAGATGTAGCAATGATTAAAAAATTTTGGTGGTATAATTATTGAACCATCATGATTCCTTCTGTATATCGGAGTAGCAAAGAGGTTAACATGGTATATAACTTTTTAAAATATACTGTAAATGAAAGCTGTTCACATTAATGAGGAATGATCTAGGACTTTATACAAACTTAAATTTGTTTTATTTTAAATGTAAAGTGCTTGTTCATTTAGGATCTTTTTAAATGTTTAAGCATCTTTGTTTATATCTTTTTTTTTATTACCACCAGTCATCTCCCACCAAGGTAGGGTGACCCAAAAAGACAAATACATTCACCATAATTCATGCAGTAGCTCTTGCCAGAAGTGTATAGAGATTACAATTCAAATTTACCTCTGAACTGCAAAATCCCCACCCCTCATTCAGACTGCAGGCACTGTTCATCCCACCTCCAGGACTCAAGTCTGGCTAACTGGTTCCCTTGTATCCTTTCATAAATGTTACCTTACTCATACTCCAACAGCACATCAAGATATAAAAACCATGCATCTCCACTCTGATCTAACTTGTTTACACAAGCCCCTAACATGCAGAACCTTCTTTATCACCACCTTCAAACCTTTCCTGGAATATCAGCTGCCCCTCCTTCCTCTACTTCAGATATATAGACCCTTTTGTTTATCCTATCTTGGTCCATCTCTTAATGCCTAGACCAGCTCAACATCCACTCCACTACTCTCTGAATTATTCCTTTAGTAAACCTACTCTGTCTTCTAATTTCAATTTTTGCCTATTTGTGGTACATCCATGCACATTCAGACAACCCAACTTTAAATATCTTCTGTCTTTTTTAATATTTGGTACAGAAAGAGAGGAAGAATGGAGACGTGTTTTTTATGGCTTGACATGCTCTTAGTGTGTGGAAAGGGATTCAGAAAAACTGGTTAACACGACTTGAGCCCTGGAGGTGGGAAGTACAGTGGGGGTATTGTAGCTCAGAGGGTCATTTGAATTGTGATGTATGCACACTTCTGGCAAGAGTGAATGAGTGATGGTGAATGTTTCCTTTTTTTTTTTTTCTCACCATAACTTAGTGGGAGACTGTGTGTTAAGAAAAATAGAAGGGGTTACCAGCCCCTTGCTTTTGCCATTTAAGTCACCTTTATGAGACACTTTGCTTATGGAGGAACAATTGTTACTTGTTTCCCCATAGAATTGTACAAATATTTTTATATAAATATTATATATTTTTCAAAATAAATTAAGTATTATTCTTTTTTGTGTGTATTATTTGCAGTAATTGCTGTAGCTTAGTTGCCATACATTAGCTTGAACTTACAGTGTAAAATATATTATAGGCAGTGATTAAAAAGATGTTTAAATTAAAATATGCAGAAGGGCAATAATAATAATAATATCTTTATTTCTACAAGTACATGTACTAGGTTTACAGGCCTATATAGAAAGTCGCTTGTTATGCAGAGCATTTCGGGCAAATTAAGTCAGTTTTGGCTCAGGACGCAACCCACACCAGTCGATTAACACCCAGGTACCCATTCTACTGATGGGGAACATGCACAACCTGTGTAATGAAACACGCCCAATGTTTCTACCCTCACCGGGAATAGAATCCAGACTCTCGCTGTGTGAAGCGAGATCTTTAGCCACCAGGCCATGGGGCACCAATATGATAAGTACAGTATTTGATGAGTTATATATGGCTTGGACTATTCAGAAAGTTCCTGGAAAAGAGGCAGAAGCACTGAGGGTGAGCACAAAGGAGGAATTTGAAGTAAGTGCTGGAAATCGGCTGTTGCTGAAAGGTCGGAGATAATCTGCTTTAAAAAAGTTAAACTTTTACGAGAGGAAGGTAGACAGAATACGTCAGGGTGTTGAAGTAGAGATTGATGATTGTTGAAGCAGAGATTGACTATTGTTGAAGCAGAGATTGATGATTGTTGAAGCAGAGATTGATGATAAGGTCAGCATGCTCTGATAAAGGGAGCAATCTTTCAAAATACAGTGGACCCCCGCTTAACGATCACCTCCAAATGCGACCAATTATGTAAGTGTATTTATGTAAGTGCGTTTGTACGTGTATGTTTGGGGGTCTGAAATGGACTAATCTACTTCACAATATTCCTTATGGGAAAAAATTCGGTCAGTACTGGCACCTGAACATACTACTGGAATGAAAAAAGTTCGTTAACCGGGGGTCCACTGTACGTACAGTGAAACCTCGGCACTCTAACTTAATTGGTTCCAAAAGGCTGTTTGAGTGCCAATCTGTTCAAATACAGAACAAATTTTTCCCAACCAATTTTCTTTTTGGTTGGCTGTTATCACTAACCCTCTTAGGCCCCATGGTGGCTTATACAAATAATATAAAAAAAATGTGAAGAAACATGAAATAGTTTGCAGCTAAGTTCTGGCAGATCGTGTTTGTTTGGTCGAGTGCTGAGCAAACGGTCAACTACTAAGCGATTTATTTACCAAACAAAGCATTCGAATACTGAATTGATCTAGTACAGAGCTGTTCGAGTAGCGAGGTTCCACTGTACATATGTTCTCTACAAGGAAATGTCTTGATGTTGTGAAAGATTCCTGTTCCAAGAAATTGAAGCTACCCTTTGTCTCCCATTCCTCAGGCACTGTTTGATCCTCATGGATTTATCACTTTACCATGCATACAATATTATTCATAATCCCCTTTCTCGGATGAAACCTCCCATTACTCGAGCTGTATGACCCCACAGGACTTCCTTGTAGAGAATGTATGTATTTTGATAGATTGTTCCATTTATTAGAATAATCTACCTTATCATCAATCTCTACTTCAACACACTGACATATTCTGTCTGCTTTCCTCTCGTGAAGGTCTCACTTTTAAAGCCGATTATCTCTGACTTTTCAGCATAAGCTAATTTCCAGCACTAATTTTAAATCTTTCCTTTGTGCTCACCTGCATTGTGTAACTAATCTGATCTCTAAGATAATTTACAAGATTAGATCAAGAACTGTGTTAGCTTAGACACCCATCGTGTAGGATATCTTTCTATCATATTCTGCCACAGTTGAATGGAAGGAGTGAAGAACTACAATGATTTAATTAATAAGAGGGCCAGAAACAGGAAGATCGACAAACAACATTTATAGATCTTTGCTCATCTGTATGTCCAAAATGGATTTAGCATGAACAAAATAAATATTTAAATAAAGGTAAGTGAAGATATAGATTTCTCTGTCACTGTTTGCAAATTGTGCAAAATTTTTGAGGACACAATATGACTGCAAGAACCTACAGGACTTTGATACCTTTAAGTGTCTTGATGCTGGTGAAGGGCTCTTGATCCAAGGAATTAGATTAAATTTTATTACCTGCTGTTCTTCATGTACTGTGTGGATCTTATGGGCTTGAAATTTCCCCATTAATGTAATACTAAAAATAATACAGGGCTTGAACAGATTGCATTTGAAGCAACCAACAAGAGAAACCATATGAGATATACAACAGGATTGTGAGAATTTAACCTTACAAGACAGACATCTAAACTGTCATATCTGGGCATCTCTACAAAGACAGTGGTTATGTGTGAATGATGGTGAAAGTGTTTCTATTTTGGGTCACCCTACCTCAGTGGGAAATGCCCAACGTGTTAAAAAAACAGACAGGCAAAAACTTGACTTTTTTGGCAGGAAGAAAACAGAATAGCAAATATAAAGGAAAATGAAGTTCAAATGAGCCAGTAGGAGACAGGAAGACCTTATTTAAATTAGGAATAGAGGTAGAGAAGGCTATTCCATAATCCAATTCAAATAATGTATAGTTATGGCAAGACCTGGAGGGTTGGGAGTCATACACCACTTATTGATGGTTAAAAGGTAGGTTTTCCACTAACCTTAACTTGTACACATCCTCACATCACAGCTCTATATGACCATATGGGTTTAGTACTTTTTTCCAACATACAGTGATTGTATAAGAAAACACAAACACAATTCACTTTCAACATCTACAGTACCCTAGCAAGCTCACTCTCACTGACCTCGCCAAAAGTCCTGTTTTCAAAGTAGACTCGCCATTTGACAAAACCTTATTGCACCAGGTTTGATATTATTTTTGCACCAGCACTGCCTCCCAACTTCACTAACCCCTTACACAACAGCACTGTATGACCCATATGGGCTTAGTGTTTGCTTTTTAACATAAATGGTGAGGTTCAGCAGCAGTCTCAACAAACACAGTAAGGTCAACACACGAACAAATGCATATTCAACTGTATTGACCTCTTCATTATTAATTTCAGCACTAGAATCCTGGTTACTCATTGCTTTTGTTCTTATCATAACTTCAAAATGTCTCAAATTGAACAAATTGTTGAGTCTCTAACACTATAGGTAAATGCCGTCTCTACCACAAGTGCACCGCATTTAAGCATATCACCAGTTTTTTCAAACTTTCATAGTTTCACACTTTAATTTTTTCTTGGCACCTTTATATCACTCATCTTCTCTTTTTGTGCCATAGTTAATATCCAAACATGAGATGGGATG